AGCACAACACAGAATTCCTCAGTGTTCCTGACCAGGGCATGGCTGGGTAGGTGGTGTGAGAGGGCAGCCCCAGGAGGTGGGGGAGTGTCTGGGGCTATGACGAGTGCCTCCATGTGCCCACAGCATGCAGAGGAAGCGCAGCATAGGGCAGAGACCTGTGCCCGGTGTGGGCCGACCTAAGCCCCAGCCACGGACACACGGCCCAAGGTGCCGGGCATTGTACCAGTATGTGAGCCAAGATGTGGACGAGCTGAGCTTCAACGTGAACGAGGTCATCGAGATCCTCATGGAAGGTGTGTGTGCCAGGGCAGAAATGGGAGGAGCCAGGGCCTGGAGGTCACCTCCTAAGCCACCCTGGGAGCCTGGCCTCACTTGTATCGCACCCTGTACCCCAGCCTCATTCTTCTCACCTGTCAAGCACTAGGACTAATAGCAGAACCTACTTTGTGAGTAGGAAATGGGCCATGTCTGGATGGCCCAGGCCTCCAGACCTCCTACCTTGCCCCTGGGTTGCCCCTAGAGGAGCCTGGGACTCAACAGCACCCTCTGCAGGTGGGTAGGGGAACCCTTAGGGGTCATTCCTGGTTCCTCCAAGGGGATTATGGGGAGGGACCTATAGGAGGAGATGGATGAGGGACGAGCACAAGTGAATGGTCAAGAAAATGTCAGCGTGTGAGCCAGTGGCAAGGAAAACCCACGCGTTGCTCCCTCCCTTCCTCCTGTCTTCTCTTTTTTTTTGGAAGTCCCCTAAAAGACATGTTTCTTCTTTTCTTTGCCGCACCGCTCAGCTCGTGGGATGTTAGTTCCCGGACCAGGGATCAAAACGGGGCCCTCGGCAGTTAGACCGCAGAGTCCTAACCACTGGACCGCTGGGGAATTGCCCTTCTGTCTTCTCTTTTCAGCTTCTGCCTTATGCCAGGCCAGTGCAGACGAATGACAGAAAGACAGACACAGAGCCAGCATGAAAGGCTTTCTCCGGAGCGGGCTGGGCTCAGCCTCACGCTCTCTTCTCTCCCACAGATTCCTCAGGCTGGTGGAAAGGCCGGCTGCATGGCCAGGAGGGCCTTTTCCCAGGAAACTACGTGGAGAAGATCTGAGCAGGACAGGGGCCTGGGATCCTGCCATCCCACCTGCCTGCCTGGATCCTGCCAGGAGCCAGGCCCTGCAATGCGGGTCTCATTTCCCTTGGCTGCATTGGCCAGAAGGTCCAGTCCTGTGGCCTCCAGCCCAGCCTAGCCCAGGTCCTGGGTCTAGGGATCACCACTTAAGCCACCCCCGGGCCCTGGCTTCCCCCAAGGCACACCTGTTTCCTCCTGTGTCAAACAGGGCTAACAGCAGAACTTACCTCCCAGCTGCCTTGTGAGTAGGAAGTGAGCTGTGTCCTGCAGGCAAAGTGCCGGGCACAGTCAGGGGGACCTTGACAAGCTTGACTTCCCTCCTTTTCTCACCACTGAGGCAATAAATGTTTGCCGAGTGAAAACATGAGTAAACTTACTGAACAAGGACCACCTTCTCACAACCCTGTGGGGTGGTAGCAGTGAATATCCCATTTTACAGATGGAAAAATGGAGGCTCAGAGAGGTTTAGTCACTCACCCAAGATTGCACAGAGCCAAGTCTTGAACTCAGATATGCTTCTGCCCCTCACAAAGCTTGAATTTGTCTCACCTGCTAGCTTCCAGAAGCTGCATGCTAGCTTTCCTGCAGCAAATGTTCCAGTGGGTCCTGTCAGCTTTGACTCTGCACCCCCTGCCAAACAAACTGGGACCCTACTGGACCCTGACAAAGGAGGCAGGTCCCACATGGCCCCCCATAATTCACCCTGAATCACCCCTGAACCCTGACCCCCACCCCATGTCTGTGTTTACTTAGCCCTCACTCACCTGGCGTCAGGACCAGTTCTGACATTCGAGGGCCCTGGCCTTCTGCACTTATTGTCATGGTGAAGAGGGGGTCAGCCTAGCTACCAGTCCCCTCCAGCTGTCTCTTGGTCCCCGCAGCTGTCTCCAAACCAGTGCCGGAGTCTGAGCCTTTCAGACCTTTCCAAATGAACAACCGCTCTGTGCTCAGCCCCATGAAGAGCAGTCAGTCTGGGAGAGATGGAGCCAGATGGGTGGGGTCAGGACTGTGCCAGAGAAGGGACAGGGCTTGGAGCAGGGGAGGGAGATGCAGAGAGAGTGTGGACATTGCTGGAGGAGCCAAGAAGGATGAAAAGAGTCAGCAGACCTTTTTTTTTAAAATTTATTTATTTACATATATTTTTTGGCTGCGTTGGGTCTTTGTTGCTGTGCGCGGGCTTTCTCTAGCTGTGGTGAGCAGGGGCTACTATTTGTTGCAGTGCGCGGGCTTCTCGTTGCGGTGGCTTCTCTTGTTGCAGAGCATGGGCTCTAGGCACGCGGGCTGCAGTATTTGTGGCGCACGGGCTTAGTTGCTCCGCGGCATGTGGGACCTTCCCCGACCAGGGCTGGGAACCCATGTCCCCTGCATTGACAGGCGGATTCTTAACCACTGCGCCACCAGGGAAGCCCTGGGTCAGCAGATCTTGATGGCAAATACCACACAGAGTGATCTATGCTGTGATGGGAGGACTCCAGGCAGAGGACACCTACCCACCTGGGGGATGGGAGATGAGGTATCAAAGAAAGACTGGTCAGCAGAGCCTTCTGTAGAATCTACACCTACCTGGGAAGCTGAGCGTGGCTGGGAAAAAAAAAATCCCAATTTTGCAACTGGGTCTCAACAGCCTTTTATTAGCCAATCACTATACAAAAGCATTTAACCAGTCCCTTGAATGTCCCTGGTTCTCTGCATCTCTGATTTTTGCCCCTCCACTGCCCAGTCACCACTGTGAGTGTCTCTCTGCAAGACTTAGATTGGGGGACAGAGTCGGGGAGGACGGTGTGAGCCACAACCTCATCAGCTGGGCATTTCCTGGTGCTGAAGGGGAATGAGGGCCTCTGTCTCCCTTCTCTGCCCTAGAATTCATCATGCAGGCTGCCCCCCCTCCTGTCACTTTGGGGTACAGCCCTGTGGCCCCACTGCCACAGCAGGCACCCTGTTTGCAGGAAGTGGGGCCTTCCGGGCAAGACTGATGGGTGAGGTTTGGGTGAGGCACTGGGGGTGAAGAAGGGAGTGGGTTTGACATCTTCTAACAGACAGCATCTCACATCTAGGTTATAGCATCTTCGGACTGCAAACCTCAGTCAGCTTGGTCCCCCCCACTCAGCAACATCCTGTTGACTCTTTTACAAAATTTCTTAAGTTGGGCCCCTCCTCTCTCTTTCTTGGTTCCCTGTCCTTTCTGGGACCTCGCCCCACCCTTCCCCAGATTGCACCAACCTCCCCTGCACACACACACACACACACACACACACCTCCACCCTGTATCAAAATGATGTTTTTTTTTAATTAAGGAGTTTTTAATACAGTTAATGAGTTTTAACTGTATTAATGATAATCAAAAGAAAACAGTTTTTTAAAATTCAAACAGCCCATGGGAATTCCCTGGCTGTCCAGTGGTTAGGACTCTGCGCTTTCACTGTGGTGGGCCCGGGTTCGATCCCTGGTCGGGGAACTAAGACACAAGGAATTTTTTTGGCCGCAATGCACAAGCGGCGTGGTGCGGCCAAAAAAAAAATTCAAACAGCCCAAAAGTGTGAAAAATCTGTCTTCCCCTCATTCGAAAATTCCTGTCCCCCCCAATTTGTTAATGTCCATCTCCTTCCAGTGGTATTCTTAGCGTATAAAAGCAGATAGGTACATCTTATGTATACATAGATGGAAATACACCGTACGTAAAGCCTAAACTTGCCTAGAACTCAAGAAATACTTCCTGAACGGTTAAATAATGTATTATAGAGATCTGAGATCAAAGATCCACTTTACCGTCCCCACAATGACCCATCCTCCAAACGACAACCGGCGATCAGATGGTGTACCTCCCCCTGCTAAAGATTCAAGGTTAGAATAGAGATCACATGCCTCTCTTTCCACGGTTCACAAGGTCCCTGCATGACCTTTCTTGCACCATGTCCACTTTCTGACCTCCACTCCCTGCCTCCACTCTGCTCCAGCAGTGAGCTGATCACCTCATTGTTTCTTGAAAAAGACAAGCTTGTCCCTCCCCAACTCAGGCCACTTGCACCAGCTATCCATTCTTCCCAGAGTGCTGTGGCCTCCTGACCTTCCATTGGCTCACTCCATCCTGACCATCAGGTGACAGCTCAGAAGTCACCTCACAGGGCTTCCCTGGTGGCGCAGTGGTTGGGAGTCCGCCTGCCGATGCAGGGGATGCGGGTTCGTGCCCCGGTCCGGGAGGATCCCACATGCTGTGGAGTGGTTGGGCCCGTGAGCCATGGCCGCTGAGCCTGCGTGTCCGGAGCCTGTGCTCCGTAACGGGAGAGGCCACAACGGTGAGAGGCCCGCGTATCGCAAAAAAAAAAAAAAGAAGTCACCTCACAGAGAAACTTTCCTGACCCATCACCATCACATCCTTCTGGGGTTTTGTTTTGTTTTTCCTTTGTAGCACTTAATATAACGTAAGATCGTTTGCTGCATGATCGTTGATTCATTGTCTCTTTCCCCATTTTAAACCGTGAGCGGACTCTGGGAGTGGGGATGTTGGTCTGTCCTGTTGATCTCTGGGTCCCCAGCGCCTAGCACAGAGTAGGCACTCAAGAAACGTAGGTTGGCGCGCAGCAACGAAGACCCAACACAGCCAAAAATAAATAAAAACAAAAAAACAACAAAAAACAGTAGTGTTAAATTCTAGAGTGACTTTCTGAGATGTAGTGACACTTAGTGAGGCTGTATTAAAAAAAAAAAAGAAAGAAACGTAGGTTGGATAGGTGACTCATTCCACGCCGGTATACCCAAGGCTCTCCATCCATCCTCCTGAAAACACGCACCTCTCCATCCTTAGGCTACACCCGTTCCGGGTGTCCCGAGGACGGACAGTTGGCTTGCTTCCCGCCCTTGGCTATCTCAGCAGACCCGTTCCAACGTCAGAACTAAGTGCATTGAATATTTTGACGGCCACTGCCAATTTCCCTCCAAAGACGAGGCTCTCTAAACACGACCTCTTCAAAAAAGAGAACCGCTGTTTATCCCCTTTCGAGGTATGGTGACGGGACTGGAGAGGATGAAGATGCTCATTTTGCAGAGAAGAACACAGAGGCCCGGGGAGATTTTAATCCTAGATCTCTGCCTGCAGATTCTTTGCACCCCACGACTGCCCTCGGCTTGCAAATCCACCACGGCGCACGCTCCGCCATCCAGGACAATCCCGGATCTCAGGCCCCGCCTCCTCGCGGAGCACTGTGCACGGGCCCTCCTCCGTTCTCGCGAGACCTGGGAGGCGAAAAATGGCGCCGACGTGAGCGCGAGCTTGCGGCCACCGAAGGAGTCACCGCAGCCTTAGCTGGAGCTGCCGGAGCCGCGGGAACAAGAAGCCGAACCAGGCCGAGGATGGTGAGCGCGGCGCCGGGGACGCGGACGCGGCGAACCAGCGGGGACTGGCGGGGAGCGGCCCTGTAGGGCACATAGCCTCCGGCCGACCCCGCCCCCACATCCGGGCACTCGCCCGCCGCTGGCTGTCACTCGGGGAGCACCCTACCCCCTACTTCTGGGCCTGGTTTCGACTGGGCTACGCCCACAGGGCTCGAGCACCGCCCCAGATCTTCATACGGCCGGGGCCCCAGCACTTCCAGTTCGCCTGCACAGCTCGAGCCCAGCTGGTAGATATATCTCCGTCCTCGAACAACCCACTCGGCCACTTTTGACCCCTCCAGCATCTTCCTATCCGCGCCCGGTTCAGAGCCCCGCCTTTGCCCCGGCCACTCCCTATGGGCCACGCCCCTGCCTTGTAGGGGACCTCCCACCTTTCCAAGTTAGGGTCAAAGGCATGCTTCTTTTATATAGATGATTCTTAAAAAGGTACCCCCTTCTACATTTGGAACACCTCCAAGCTCCCTCCCAGAGGATGGGGACACAGGAGGCAGGAGCTCTATCCACCCTCACCCCCTGCCACTCCTTAGGATGGGGGCTGACTGGGTGACGTCTCCGGGGCATTTGCTGCTTCAGGATGCCCAGTGGTCTTGGCGGGGTGGAGTTCCCCTGGCTGGCCCAGGCAGACCCTGGGCCCAGAGGGGTTCTCCCCACCTCTTCCTTCCACCAGGAGGAGGAAACCTCGGGTCCCAGCCCGGACATGCCGGGCACTGCAGAGCCCAGCTCCAGTGAGACCGACAAGGAGGTGTCCCCAGTTGTGGCTGCTGTAGCCACTTCCTCTTCCATGGGGGAGGAGCCAGGCTCTGACCAGGCAGCCACACCCCCAGTGTGGGAACGTGGAGGGCTTGGAGGGACCCAGCAGGGTGCCTCCCCAGCCCCAGACAGTGGCCATGCTGGCCCTGGACCCGGCCTTGGCCTGACCAGCACTGTCTCCGGAACCAGTGAGGACCTGCGGCCTCCCAGACGACGCCCACCACCAGGTGACCCGTGATGGGGCCTTCTGGGGGATCACAGGCCTGGAACGATAGAAGTGAAGAATACAGAGTATCTCCAGACTTGGGGCCCATCTAGAGGGAATCACCACTTACTGAGCCCCAGGTGTATGCCAGGCTGTGAGCCAGGCCAACTCAGCCCCAACCCTCTGTTGGGGGAGGCAGAGGGTGAAGGCCCCAGTAAGAGATCATAGGGTAATTGCAACCCCATACATGCCTCTCTGGGGTAGGGCCCTGGACAGCGTGGATGGAGAAGGGATGGTGACACACCCCTCCCCTCGCTTCTCTGCGTCCTGCAGGGAAGCAGATACCCTGCTCCAGCCCTGGCTGCTGCCTCAGTTTCCCCAGCGTTCGAGACCTGGCACAGCATCTGCGTACCCACTGCCCACCCACACAGTCCCTGGAAGGTAGGACCAGGGTAGGTGGTGGGGAGGCAGGTTAGGGCGGGAGGCAGGCAGAGCCGACTGGCCACCCCTCTCCACTCCTCTGTCCTTCATCCCTGCCAGGCAAGCTCTTCCGCTGTTCCGCCCTGAGCTGCACCGAGACTTTCCCCAACATGCAGGAACTGGTGGCACACGGCAAGCTGCACTACAAACCCAATCGCTACTTCAAGTGAGACCCCGTCCACCCCCATGTCTGCTGGCGCTCGGTGACCAGGCAGCTCCCCCCACCACTGATTTGACAGCCACTACCGGGGGTCCAGGCTCTTCTCCCTTCCTAGTCCAGGGGGTTGGGTCGGGGAAGTGGGCATGAACTAGGGCAAGCCTTGCCCTTAACCTGCCCAGAAGAGACACTGGTCGCTAGAGCAAGTTCCAGGGACCCCGAGGGCGGGGCTCGGAAGGGGTTTGGGGGGGGCATTCTTGGCGCGGCTCCGCCCAGCCCTCTACCTCCCAAGAGGAAAAGCGATCCCCTAAGTCACAATTGAGACTTCCTTCCTCATCTTCCCAGGGCTCCGACCTGGAGGGGTCCGGAAGGGTCGCGACCACAGTAGGGGGACGCTTAGGGCAGACTCCTCCCCCGCAGATGGGAGATCTGTTGTTTGGGCCCGGGCTCCCTTACCACCCTCGAGCGGCGGCTCCGCAGGTTACTACGGATAGGCCCCTCCCTTGTCCCGCAGGAGACCCAGCCCAGCCCTGTGCCGCCCCCAGGTGTGAGAACTGCCTCCTGCGCTTCCGCACGCACCGCTCCCTCTTCAAGCACCTGCATGTTTGCGCCGAGCATGCGCAGAGCCCAGCCCCGCCGCCACCCCCTGCCCTCGACAAGGAGCCACCAGCGCCCGAGCGCCCCCCGGAGTCCGACCCTGCGTTGGCGCCTGGGCTACAGTTCCCGCTGCTCGAGCCGTTCACGACCCCTGCCCCTGCCCCCACCGGGCCCTTCCTGCCGTACTTGAACCCCGCGCCTTTTGGCCTAAGCCCACCACGCCCGCGCCCCTTTCTGGCCGCCGCTCCCGGGCCGCCCGCCTCCAGCGCCGCAGTCTGGAAAAAGAGCCAAGGTGAGTGTGGGGGCAGGGACGCCTGAAGGGTGGGCTGGGCTCCCTCTAACTTCTGACCTTGACCCGCCCATTTACCGCAGGTGCCGGCGGCAGCCCGCGAAGACCCCAGGGCGGCTCCGATACGCCCTCAGGTGCGTGCAGGTGATCACCGGGGAGGGTGGAGGGGATTTCTCCCCTGCGGGGCATAGGGGATACTGGGAGGCAGCGGTGCCCACCCCCTTCCCAGGTGGCCAGAAATGTCACCCCCGAAATACAGGATTTTGCCTTAAAAAATTACGGCCCCTGCTCTTTATCTGCGCCGGCGTTTCCGTGTAAAACTCTCACCCGGTTCCCGAGTCCTTCCCCCTACGTTGGTTCAGAGGATGGGAGAGGGTTCAGAGGATAAGTCAAGTTTCGTGCCCCCAAATACATGGGGAAACGCCCGGGACAAACGGATCAGCCGTTCCAGAGACCCGGCGCCTGGGAGCTGAGGGGGAGGCGGGGAGAAAGGTACGACCCGCCCTCGCCCCGGTCCTCGCCCTCGCCCAGGGCCCGGGGCTGACGGGGTCCCGCCTGCCCGCAGGGCACGCGGCCCCGAGCCGCATCGTGTGGGAGCACACGCGCGGCCGCTACTCGTGCATGCAGTGCGCCTTCTCCACGGCCTCGCGGCCCGCCATGACCCTACACCTGGAGGACCACCGCCCCATCGCCCCTGCGGCCCCGGCGCCCGGGCAGCCGCGCCCTGACGCGCCGGCGGGTAAGGCCCGGGAGCGCACGGGTGGGGAGGGCGGGGGCCCTGAGGCGAGGGGCGGGGCTGAGGCTCAGGCGCCCCCTCCTCTGCTCCACCCAGACCCGGCCCCGCTGGCACCCAAGGTGTCGCCGCTGCTGTCAGAGGGGGAGTGTCCGGTTTTCTCGCCGCTCTGAACCATGCCGCGTTGCGGGTGGGCTGTGGGTAGTTTTGTAATTTTAGGGGGGCCTGCGATGGGCGGGGTGGCGGGACAATAAAGGAGGCAGATGAGCCAGCCTGTGCTGTGTCTGGGTCCCATGCCCCTCCAGTGCAGTCCTGGGGCGCTCCCACCTCGGAAGGGGGCAGGCCTCCCCCTCACAGCCCACCTGTGTCCCACCTCCCCTGTCAACCTCAGCGGTGGGACAGCTGTAGATGGTCCTCTTTCCTGTCCCACCACTTCCAGAAACCATATGAGACGGAAGTTTTCCAGTTTTATTTAAAAACTTCCAGGAGTCAGGAGCGCCCGCCCAGCTGGAGCCCCCCAGGTCCTGAGGCCAGCACTGACTCTCAGGGAGGTGACAGGGTGGTGGGGCAGTCCCAGCAGTAGAAGGGAGGTGCCAGGGCCCCCAGGGCTGGGCACTCTGGCAGGCGGGAGCTCAGGCCTCATCGTCATCCTCCTCACTGTCTTCGGCTGCCCCCTTCCCCTCCTCCCCCTGCCCCAGCTCTGAGGAGGAGAGTGGGTCAAGGCCAGCCCTGGAGAGCCTGGGCTTCCTCCCTTCTCACTTCTCCCCCATATAGGTCCTCTTCTTCCTTTCCTTCCTGGGAAGTCAGGCTGGGGGCAGAGTTCAAAATCTGGTCCCACACTGCTGTCACCAGAACCCTGAGGGTCAAGCCTCCAGTGTATGGAAGTCCCACGCATTGCTGGCAGCCACCCCTCAGGCCGGCTTTACTTCCTGCATCTTGCTCCCTTCCAGCCCAAGCTTCAATCCCGTCCCACCCCGTTCTGGAGCACCGGAGGCAACCACCCCCCCGCCCTTCCCCCCAGTCTGAACACCTCTGGAAACGGGGAACTCTTCCGATCGTGCTCCTCCCCTGCCTAGTACCCCCACCGCTCCCCACAGCTCCCTTCAGCTCTCTGCATGAAGATCCTGTTCTCCTAGTAGCCCACAAGGCCCCATCTTGAACCTCTCCACCTCCTCTTCTCAGGACCACACTCAGCATCTCTCTCCTCTTCCTCCTGGGGAACATAGACATCCTGTGAGCAAGAACCCAAGGACCAGGTCCCCAGCCCCACCCCACCCTGTTCATTCCATATCTCCTCCAAGTCATCAGAGTTGTCCTTTATCTGCGCCAGCAAGACATTAGTCACCCCCTGGGTGGAGTCCCCAGGCCTCACACCCCTCACTCACCAGCCTCCCATCTTCCCCTCGCCCCCCTTACCATCCTCCCCCTAGTCCTCCTCAGAATCTTCGTTCCCCAGCATGTTGGCCTCAGTCTCAGAGTTGAGCAGGGTCCCCAGCATCGAAGCCATCCAGGTAGCCAAGCTCGGGTAACGACTCAAAATCCTGCTCCGTTAGCGCAGCTGCTGTGACTCCTCGATGCTGAACAGCTCCAAGTTCTGAAGGCCCTTCAGCTTCTCCTGGGAAGGGCAACAGGGAGATCTGGGCACCCTTTGGACCTGTCCCACCTGGACCCAGGAGCCGGCCTGCCCGCCTGCCTGCCCCACTGCCCTCAGCTTCACAAGGGGCTTTAGGGCTCCAGTGTCCTTGATGGGGTTGCAGCTGAGTCGCAGGTGGCTCAGGCCAGGCCCCCACAGAAGCGGCTGTCACTGAGCACCTGCTGTAGGGCCAGATGGGCCGTCAGGGAACCCTGGGGCTCAGGCCCCCTGTAAGCTCCCCTCCCCCTTCTCAGCCGGAAGCCTTGGAACCACAGCTGGGTGATCCTGGGAAAGACAATCTCTCTGCATCTCAGTTTCTTACTCCTTAAAATGAGTGTCATGAATGCTCATCCTTTGGAGTTCTTGTGAGGATTCAAAAGAGGGATGGGGAGCGAGGGAGGGGGCTTGGGAAATGTTTGCAGGTGGTTGACATCACTCCAACCACCAAGCCTGTGGCCGGCTGCCTGGGACCCTCTCAGGAACCTGGGGAGGAGGTGGGTCCAGGGGCCCAGTTTACAGATAGAGGTGAGGCTAAGAGGGTAAGCTGACTGAGCCCTGACTCTAGCCGGGCCCGGTTCCAAGTCACCGATTCTGCACCACCCCAGAAGCGGGGCAGTTACCACTGATGAGAAAACCCAGGCAGCAAGGCCCAAAGGGCACTCTCTCCTTTTCCTGCACTCACAAGGCCCCTAGACACCCTTGGGAATATGGCTCTAGGCCCATCCCTTCCTGCATCTTCAGGGCTTGGTGTCCCATCTCCAGCGTACCAGGGTCCCCCAGCCCCTGGAGTTTTCCCCATCAAGCCCCTCATTCAGGCACCCCCGAATCTAGGCAGTGCCACTTCGCAGTCTGTCAGGACCTTCCCAGAGAGACCCAGGTATCTTGGTCCAGGTAGGTGCCGCCCCCCGAACCGCGTCACCCACAAAGATGCAACAGCCCCTCCCATGGGTACAGTGGGTCCACAGTCCCCCCTGGGCCCCTCGCTGCCCTCTGGAGCAAGCTGAAATTGCCCTGAGGCCTAGAGAGTTGGCTCACTCTGAAAACTGACCCCTACCTTCACCCCCTCCCAACTCCCATCCAACCTTTGTCTGCTCGCCTGGGAAGTCTTACTGTTCCCACTGTCCCTTCTGGGCTCCTGCAGCCCCTGCCCTCCCTCTGGCCAACCAAGCTGGGAGCCCCACAGAGGGTCCCTCCACCGCACCCCAACTCCAGGATGCCTGAAAGCTGAGTCCTCTTAGGGCCCCGGATCCGCCCAGCAGAGGGCGCCCAAGAGTGTCGGTCTGAAGGGAGAATGAATGAGGGGCCGGCGCGTCCAAGCAGGCACCCACCTTACACAGCCGCCGCAGAGTGGGCAGGTTGGCCTGAGACTGCAGGCTCACGTTGAACAGGCTGAGCCACTCCAGGACCCAGACCTCTTCATCATCCCCAGCCTCCTACTCGGAGGCGGACCAACATCCGGAAATGTGACCCAGCGCGCATGTCTGTCCGTTCAAGGACAGGGATGCACGGGCACAGAGGCTCCAGAATCCCCAAGCTGTGCTCTTAAGAGCAGACACAGGCAGAGTCACTGCCGACTGCTGTCTGTGGCCTTCATGGCAGCGGCGAGTGAAGGGCTCCTGCTGGGATGCAATGCCCAGCCTCCGTCCCTGTCTCCTGTGGATCTTTCTGGAGACTTCAGTACATCTCTGTTACTCTCGCTGTGATCCTTGGACCAGCGGTATGGGCCTCACCTGGGATGCTTCAGAATCTGAGGCCCCACCTCAGACCCGAGACACAACCCACACTTTCTCGGGGTCTCAGGGTGACTTGTGGGCACCAGTGCTCCTCAGCGGCACACTAGAATCCCCCTGAGGGTGTGTAAGAAATCCCCAGGCTCAGGCCACACCCCAGACCAATTAAGTCAAAATCTCCAGGAGCTTCTGTCTTTCTGTGAACTCAAAGGATCCCGGTGGCATAGCTGAACGGAAAATCGGGGCTCTGCACTCTCCCACTGGGTGTTTTCTCCCTTTCTCTATGAGCCCGAGGTCACTGACTTCCTGGGGACCGAGCCCTGCCATCAGGGTCTCCCTTGTCTGGCCTCGCACCCTGCACCCTCACAGCTCTAATCTTGCCTACCACCTTCACCCCCTCTCTGCTGGCCTCCCAGCTGTCCCCATTTTCCTCCTTCTCTTGTCCTCTGGGAGCCTTGGACATTCCCCACCCACCCACCACCAAACGTGCCATCCCACCTGGGCCCTCGGCCCTTGTTACAGTTGCCCCTGTAACAGGGAAGTCCTAAGTCCTGCTCAGAGCTGGAAATCAGGCTACAGGGAAGTGTTGAAATGAGGAAGGCGGACTGAGGCAACAAGAGCCAGCAGGAGGGCCTCACCCGTCAGGCTCGCTCTACTCCTGGGGTCTCACGGCCCGGAACTGGCCGTGCCCCTTTCCCGCTGAGAACTACCACTCGCCTCCTGCAGAGGCCCTGGGAGGAGTTGGCCTTGGCCTGCCTCTGTCGGCAGGAGGTCCTCAGGGCCTGGCATGAGTCCTTCCTGGAGTCCAGAGGTCAGCACACAGCAGGGCATGGGGTGGGAGGGGGGGGCCAGCAGAGTCGAGAAACGAGTGACTGTTGGGTGTCTGCTGAGAAATGCACAAAGCGCAGCGCAGGACAGGAATTCAAGAAGCTCCCAGCAGGACCTGAAGACAGGCTGGGGCTCTCCCCCCTCCTCCCCTTCCTCCTCTGCCCTCCCGCCTGGCCAGTAGACCCCACCCCGTGGGGCCCGTGGAGCAGAAGCTACAGTCACTTCCTGAAGGCAGCAGCCCTGGCTCAGGTCCCAGTCGCCCTGTGGCCCGTCACCCGCCTGCAGCCATGGTGAGTGAGCCCCCAAGCCCTTGGAGAGCCCCCCACTGGCCGGAGGCAAGGGATGCCACGGGTGGAAACTGGAAGGCACATTCCAAGAGCGGGCCGGCAGAGGGGCAAGCAGGTTTTCAGGGTTGTGACCGACACAAACGCCCAGAGGTAGGAGGCAGCCAAGACCCACCTCTGGGACAGCTCAGGCTCCCGAGGGGCCTGTAGCAGAGGCTGAGGCTGCGACTAGAAGGGAGATGGGTGGCACTGCCCAGACGACCCCCCCCCCCGCCATGAATAGCAACCCGGTAACAGGCAGCCAGGGTGAGGGGCAGGGCCTTCCTGGGGGCGACAAAGCGGGTCACGCACACGCTGCCAACCCCCCACCCCAGCAGCGCCCCAAGGCCTGACCTGCTGACCCCGGCTTCTCTGGCCCCCTGGGTCACCTGGGAGCCTTGCCACAACCCACCAGTTAGGGGGGCTTCCACAGAGGCGTCTCAGGCCCCGGCACCTTTCCTTGTTCTCTGGATCAGGGCAGAGTGAGGCACAGGCGGGGGCAAAGTTCCCGAGGTCGTACCCTTCCCCTCCCCGGTCTCCTCGACCCCAGGTAAAGCCAGGCCTGGGAGCTGTGGCAGGGCCACCTCTGGGGTGACCTGTCGGTCAGAGCAGCCCTGGCCTACTTGTGCATCTCCTGTGTCCGTGACCAAGGATGTGGGGCTGGTCAAGACCATACCTGGGACGGACTTCCTGTGCCAGGGCTGGTGCGCGTGCCCACGCTCGGGAGCCTGCCTGCCGGGCCTGGTGGGCATCCCTGACCATCAGTCGGGGTGTCTGGGACTGTGGGGCCCTGCCCTCAGGTTTGCCTCTAGGTCTCTTAGTGTCTCTCCACGTGAGTCTGTGTGAGAACGTGATGGTCAGGCCGCCTATATGCCTGTCTCTGTGTCCTGTACGTTCTTTATTTCAACAAAGAATTACTGAGCATCTCAGCACAGGCCAGGCACTAGGAGGACAGCAATGCACAAGACAAGCTACTGCCCTTGGGGCGCTGACAGTCCACAGGGGCTGGGGAAAGGAGGAGGAGAGAGACCAAAACAAAACAAAAAAATCCCACAAATAGTCAAAACACATTTAAAAAACAAGTATTGGAACCTCCCCGGTGGTCCAGTGGTTAAGACTCTGCACTTCCAATGCAGGGGGCGTGGGTTCAATCCCTGGTCGGAGAACTAATATCCCACATGCCGTGAGGCATGGCCACCGCCGCCCGCCCCCTGCCCAAAAAAAAAAAGTATTAAGTAAAATAAATAGAATGATACAAGGTGTCAGGTACTAACTAAGAGAAACATCAGGCAGGTTGGGGAGGATAGAGAATCCTGGGAAGGGGGAATCCAATCTTCTCTTTTTAATTAGGGTGGTCTGGGAGGAAGTCCTCTCTAATAAGGAATATGGGAGCAGAGACCTGTAAGAGGAGAAGGAGAGCCATGCAGTGGGGAGAGTGTCCCAGGCAGAGGGCAGGAGATGGGAGAAGGGGAGGCCAAGGAGGTGACTGGGTAGGAGAGGTCGAATCTGCCGTTCAGGGCCTTTGTGAGATTTTTTTTTTTTTTTTTTAATTTATTTGGCTGCACTGGGTCTTGGTTGCAGCATGTGGGATCGTTAGTTGTGGCACGCGGGATCTAGTTCCCGGACCAGGGATCGAACCCGGGTCCCCTGCGTTGGGAGTGCGGAGTCTTGGGCGCTGGACCGCCAGGGAAGTTCCTCGTGAGATCTTTAGCTTCTACTGTGGGGAAATGAAGGAACACGGCCAGATTTTGAGCAGAGGTGCACAAACTGACTCTGGGTTAACTGGCCTCCTCCGGCTGTTGTGAGGGGCCTGACCAGGGATGGGGACGCGGGGGCGGGGGGCGGGGGCGGGCAGGAGACCAAGGAGGAGCCTATTAAATGATCCAGGCAACAGGGGATACTGCCTTACCCGGTTGGGCTCCTCTGGGCCAGGACAGTGGTGCAGGCGGTGAGAAGTGGCTGGATTCTGGATGTATTTTGAAATGAGAAAAGAAGGGCCTGGGGGCATGGCGGGGGGCGGGGGGGAGCTCGAGGATGCTCCCCTGACTGAGGGGGCGGGGCGGGCTATGGGAGCAGCAGGCCCCAGGGGCCCCAGGAGCTCGGGTCCAGAGTGGGATGAGGCTGGGTGCGCATCCTGGTCCTGAGTGGCGAGGTCAGAGGGTGTGGTAGTTTAGGAGGGCCTGCGACCCACCGGGAGGCTAGAGACACAAAAACGTGGGAGTCTATGGCCAACAGAGATGGCGGCCAAGGGCAGAAGGTGGGGGAGAGGAGCTAACTGAACAGGAGCCAGGGGAAGGGGGTGCGTGTCCGTGACCATGTCTGCTTGTCCCACGTCCGTCTCTCCACCACCCGCATGTGTCTGAGTCCCTGCCTGACTCCGTGTCCCCTAGGGGAGTCATCAGGACTTTCGGAGCCTTCAAGCAAAGTTCCAGGCCTCTCGGCCCGAGACCGGCAAACTCCCCCAAGTATCTCCAAAGCCCGAGTTCAACAAACTCCTCAAAAAGTTTCCACAGCCTGAGTTAGGCGAGCATCCCAAGAAGCACCCCCAGCCCGAGTCCACTGATCTGCCCAAGAAGCCCTGCAAACTTGAGTTCAGTGAACTCTCCAAGAAGGTCCCACAGCTCAAGGCCACTCCATTCCCCAGGAAGCCCCTGCAGCCTGAGCTCAGCCACGCCCCAAGGCCCCCCACAGGGCCCAAGTTCGGTGCATTCCCCAGGAAGTCCCAGCAGCCTGAGTCCAATGAGGCCACCCTGAAGGCCCCCCAGCCCAAGTTCAGTACCGTTCCCGAGAAGCCCCCGCAGCTTGGGGTCAGTGGTCTCCCTGAGAAGTCCCTGCCGCAGCCCGAGTCCACTGAGGTCCCCCCAATGCCCCCTTCAAAGCCCGAGTCCAGTGAGCCCCAGCCTCACTCCTCACAGCCCAACTTCAGTACAGTCCCCGGAAAGATGCCACAGCCTCCACTGAGTGACCTCCCCGAGAAGCCCCCGCGGCCCGAGTGTGGTGACCTCCCCAGGACGTCCTCGGGGCCCGAGTGCAGCCTGCTCCCCAAGGAGTTTCTGCAGCCCGAGTGGCGGGGGCCGCCCTGCAAGTCCTCCCAGCCCAAGCCCAGATCTCTGCCCAGGAAGCAGGCAGAGTTCTTCGGTGACCTCCCTAGAAAGCCTCCACTCCCTGGCTCCCGTTCAGAGAGCTCACTGCCCACTGCCGTTGCAGGCTCCAGCCCTAGGTTCCCACTCAGCCCAGGGTTTGGAGCCAGGCAGCAGAGATCTGGAGCCCTCACTTGCGGTGGAGGCTCGAGGCTGGGCCTCAAACCTGGCCACCCACCCCGGCGGAGGCCTCTCCCCCCAGTCAGCAGCCTGGGCGCCCCTCCAGCCAAGCCCCCACTGCCCCCAGGCCCCAGGGACGTCCAGAGATTTCGAAGGACCTTGGCAGCAGGCACAGGTGGGTGAGGGCGGCCCAGGCAGAAAGGAGGGTGTGGAGGCTCCCTGGCAGTGCCTGCCTCCCTCCCTCCTGTTCTCATCTCCCCACAGCTCTGCCGAGGAGCTTTTCTGCCGGCTTCCTGGCTCGACAGCCTGAAGACACCCCACAGTGAGTAGGAGTCAGGGGGTACAGGTGTGGGTCACGGGACCGAAAGAGGCCCTCATCTCAGGTATCCCCGCAGGGACCCAGATGAGGCCTACAAGCTGTACGAGGACGTGGAGCCCACAGACGACTCCAGACCCAGCCCCAAGGGCAGAGGTTTGTTGGTGACAGGGCCAGGCCCTCAGCCAGACCAGTCTGCCAAGGCACCTGGGGAACATTTGTCACAAGGGTGTGTTCTGCCATGTTGCTAGCGAGACGCCAAGTGGCAATCCATATCCCTGATGGATTGAAAGCAGCGCCAGGGGAGGAAGCAGAGAGAAGGAGGGGCCTTTCAGAAAGGTCACACCAGCTCCTGGTGGGTGGAACAATGTGAGTAAGGGCAGCCCAGAGGCCAGCAGCCTGACCAGGGTGTGGCCAGGGCAGGGGTGTGGGCCAGGGTGGTGGCAGAAGACATGGAGAGCAGTGGAAGGATCAGGTACAAAGCAGCAAGAGGACTTGGTGGTGCATCACCAGGGACGAGAGCGAGCTCATGACAGGGTTGAGGCCCAAATGTTGAGCCTGCACCTGAGTAAGGGACCCGTGGTGTTGGAGGTGCCTGAGGGATATCCAGGCAGGACTTGGGCCTGAACTCAGAGGCAGGGGCTGGAGACAGGGTGTGGCCGACCCTCCAGGTCTGCAGTCCCAGGCAACTCTCTCTCTGTGCTCTGGGTTTCCAAGGATGCTGCTTCTCTCCCTTCCACACCTCTGCTCCTGGAGAGCAGGATGAAGGCCAAGCAGGCCCAGCTCGCGGATGATGCATTCACCAACCCCATGTGAAAACACCAAGGCTCCCATGCCAGCACTTCACCGAATGTGCACAGCCCACCACCCCCGAGGCAGTGTCCTGCCCATTTTACAGGACTGGAAGCTTGAGGACAAGCTTGAGGCAAGAAGTGACTTGCCCCAGGTCGCACAGCCGATACACAGGAGCCCAGACCCTAGGCTCCCAGGCTGCTTCCCTGCCCTGTCTTTGGAAGGGTCTCCTGCAGGGGAACGTTTCATCAGAGGTGCCTTTGGGATCCCCAGCTACCACTCCCACCTCACCAGCCCACCCTCCAAAGTCTGCTGCCTATACAGCTGTTACTCCTTCCCCAGCCCCTTCTGCTTCTCCTGGGCTTTCCCCAGGGGCTGCTTGCAACACCCCTGTTAGCACAGAGCTTCCTGACAGGGCCCCTCCTGCTTCCGCTCCAGTTAAGCTCTGTGGCTTGGGTCTGGGGGGCCTCTCTTGGGGATGTGGACGTGGGGAGGGAGCACCTCTGGCCATCCACTTCCAGCAGCTCCGCAGGCATGGCCCACCGCTTCCCCTTCCCCAACCCCAAGTAGACGAGGCACTTTCCTCCCTCTGCTCACCGTCCCAGCCACTGGACAACCGCCAGTCATTCTTCAAGGTTCTGAGCCGATACCACATGCTTCCCCAGATCTCCCCGCTTCTCGAGTGGGGCTCAGTGATTGTCCCAAAGGCAGCTCTGCCCTTCTCAAGTCTGTCCCCAGTTGGAAGGACTCTGGGCTCCCCCCTCCCACTCTCTGCCTCACTCAGAGCAGTGGCGGCTCCACTAGAGGCTCCCTGCACAGCTGGGGGCTCCTCTGGAGGGGCCGGGCCCAGCTCTTTCTCAGGAGCTGAGGGTAGCGTGCTCAGGATCACACTGCCAGAAAGCTGGGGACACAGGGCACCAGGGTCTGCCCCGCACTGCCGTGCCCAGGGCTGCACTCTCTGGCTGCGGCAGGTCTGTAGGGGCCCTGGGGTGAAGTCAAGGCTGCTCCCAGCCGGGTGACCATCTCCGGCCTGGGCAGCCTCTGGGTGGCACTGTTACCCGAGCACCACCCAGCTGAGGCTGGAGGCAAACTCAGTGTCTGAAGGGGTGGAAGGGCCCCATGCAGATGCCCCTCGGGCAGCTTGATGGAAGGGTCTGCTGGCCTAGAAATGTCCAGAGCAGCACTTCAAGTCATTCAGAGAGGACTGCAAAAAGCTAGGGGCTTCAGGTTCTGGATCCTTCACTCCCTTTGTGTTCACAAGGCTCTCACTGTAAGCCACACCCTTGGCCAACAGGGCTCATACCTGGAAAGCTGGTCATTTGCGGGGTAGTCAGTCCTCACCTGGGAGACCCCTCACAGTCCAGTCTCATCATCAGCCAGGCCAGGCAAGAGTCCCAGCCCAACAGCCCCTTCTTAGAGGGAGACTTCTTTGCTTCCAGGAAATACTTTTCTTCGCCTTACTTTTTGACCCAAATCTCATCACAATTCCCAGAACCCCACCTGCTCTACAAGGCAGGCGTGAAATGGCCTCAAAAGCCTACAGAGAAATCCTGCCTCTACCATTTAACAGCTGGGTGACCTGGGGCAGGCTGTGTTACCTCTCTGAACCCTTAGGTCCTCCTCGGCAAGCAACTTGGGATGACAGTCAAGACAGCTGAAATGAGTGGTAACGTTTCTGCCACGCCTATCCTGCGACAGGAGTTAAGAAAATGAAAGGCAATCCACTAGAACTCACAACTCATGAGAAAGGCCTGGGCAGCGGGGTGGGGAGGGGACCAAGGTCCTGAGAACTGACAAGGGAAAGAGCAGGCCGCCAGATTCAGAGGCCGAACCAATGGTCCCTGCCCTAACTCAGCATTCTGACTGTCCCAGATGAAGTGCTGTCTACCCAGCAACCCCCCAGGAGGCCACCAGAAGACCAAGAGCCCAGGTACCAGAGGGCAAAGGGAGTGGGACAGGGTGGGGCTGAGCTCTGGGAGGACGGTAAAAGGGGGTCCCTGAGAAGCACGTCTTGCTCATGAGCACCCAACTCCCCGGGGGCTCAGGAAGGAGAAGGGCCCCCAGCCACAGCAGTTGCCGCCCACGGACCTGAAGTCTCTGAAGCAGATCCGGAAGGCAGAGAAAGCTGAGCGGGAGTTCCGGAAGAAGTTCAAGGTGTGAACCCCAAGCAAAGCAAGAGTCCTGGGAGGGCTGTGCTCAGCCCCAGTTGACCAAAGCCCCACAAATTCCATCCTCAGAAAGAAGCCAGGCAGGGGTCCTCGGGGTGGCAGCATGACCAAAAGCTCTGATGTCTTCCTCCCCAGTTTGAGGGGGAGATTGTGATTCAGACAAGGATGATGATTGACCCCAACGCCAAGACCCGTCGCGGGGGTGGCAAGCACCTGGCGCTTCGGCGTGGGGAGATCCTGGAGGTGATAGAGTTCACCAGCAAGGAGGAGATGCTGTGCCGGGACACCAAGGGCAAGTGTGAGTGAGCCCAGCAGGGGCAGCCCTGGGAAGACGCGAAACACCAGGGAGGGTGGAGAACTCACCCACCCCCGCTCTCTCCTTGCAGATGGCTATGTACCCAGAACAGCTCTACTGCCCCTGTGAGTGCTGGCCCTGATGGGGTGGGGGATTTAGGGGGGAGGGATGAGGTGACCCTTACTGACCTTAACTGCGCTCTCAACCAGGGAAACAGAGGTGTATGACGACGTCGGTTCCTGGGGTATGTATGGGGATGCTCCGGGTGGACTGGAAGGGACTACAGTGTCTTGGGAGGGGGTAAGGTCCCATCCCACTCCACCAGGGGCTGCTGGCTACCTGCTTATGGGGCAAGGGTCACTGGAAGTCACCCCTCCTCGGCAGATCCTCTGGATAACCAACCATTCCCCGGGGGACGATAAGGCCTACAGGGGTGGGGACCCAGGACAACCCACCAATCCAGCCACCTCTTAACCGAAGGAGCCCTGGATCCCAGTTTGGCCGTCACAGAACTGCCCAGGCTCCTGTCTGACCACGGACACAGACCACATAAAGCCCCTCTTTTAAAGCAATTCCTGCTTCTTGTCTTGTCTCTCCCTCCTGATGGGCACCACACAGTGGAGCCATGATCAGACACCTGGGGGAATCTGTGGGGTCACCCCCCTTCTCCAAGGTCACACCCCTCAAGGATATAGGCCAGAAAGGAGAAAAGTAGGGCAGGAGAAGGTAGCAAGGGAGCTGGCACCTTGCTAGACTTAGAGGTGGGAGTCCCCGTGATGGTACCCCGTGTCAGCCGCCAGCCAGAGTGAAGACCCTCCACATCCAACGTGACAAGCAGCAGCTGCAGCTTCTCACAGGCTACACAGCCCAAGTGGACTTACGTATGAGATCACATCTTGGGGGGAATGTGACCCAGTTCTGATAAGAGTCCAGGTATCAAGTTCAGCCTAAACCTCTGACAGGACAAAATATGCTCAGAAACTCTCACCCTACTTGGTCTGTTTTAGCAAAGAAAAGCTGCTATGGACTGAACATTTGTGTCCTTGCTGCCAAAAACAATTCCTGCGTTGAAAACCTAACCCTCAACATGATGGTACTAGGAGGTGGGGCCTTTGGGGAGGGGATTAGGTCGTGGCAGCAGAGCCCTCATGAATGGGATTCGTGCCCCTACAAAAGAGGTCTGAGAGTTCCCTGGCAGGCCAGTGGTTAGGACTCTGCACGCACTTTCACTGCTGAGGGCCCAGGTTCAATCCCTGGTGGGGGAACTAAGGTCCCACAAGCTGTGTGGCACAGCCAAACAAATAAAGCTAAAAAATTATTTTTTTAAAAAATAAATAAAAGAGGTCTGAGAAAGTTCCCTGGCCCCTTCTGCCATGTGAGGTTACAGCTAGAAGGTGTCATCCACGAACTAGGACCGGGCCCTCACCAGGCACTGAATCTCCCAGCGCTTTGATCTTGGACTTCCCAGCCTCCAGAACTGTGAGAAACAAATGTTTGTTACAGCAGCCAGAGCAGACTGAGACAAAAGTCTAACTGGAAACGAGCCTGATGCAGCATCTGTGCCCTACAGAACTGCACCAGGGGAGACAGGATGGCTCCGACAGCCAAGTGCACCATTAACGAGCCCTGGGGGATTGAGGTCCACTCAGGATTCCGTTTCCACGAAATTTTTCTGAAGTAGCTGGGGCCAGTGGCCTCCCAGCCCAAGGGTCCACAGCTCCAAGGGTAGAAAGGAGACTGAGCAGCTCTAGCTCCCCCAAACTCGGGCGGTTACCCCACAACACACACACAAAAGCAAGCAGCTTTCAGGAACTGGTATTTATTATCAAAGTCATATTCGATGTCAACAAGATGCCACAACTACAAAAAAAATTGCGCACATTGCAATCTCAATGCAAACAGTCAAATGGAATCCCAGTCATTAAAAAAGTAATTCAAATTACCCCAAAAAGCAACTGAATTTTTTAAACATCTTTATACATCCAGCCAACAAATTAAAATGGTTAACAAGAAAAAATACAAATTCAGAGGTCTGGTATCGATGTTTAAAAAAGGCAACTGCTTAAGCATTTCTATCGATTCGAACATCAATCTCTCGGCCACTCAGCTTCATCCCATTCATCATCCGGCAGGCTCTCTCAGCCACCTCTGGCGACTCAAACTTAACCACACCGCACCCTTTGGACTTCCCATTCTCCATCTTGATGTCGGCATACAGCACGTGGCCTGGGCACAGGGAGGGAAGAAGAGACCACAACTCATCAGGCAAACCCAGAGCTCAGCCTCAGTCTGGGCTCCACTCAGTCCAGATCACCTGTTGGATTTCGGTTGACAGAGTCAAAAGGGAGGGTGGCCCTCGCGCCTGGCGCATGAATGCTCAGAACACAGCGGCTGGAACCCAGCTACTATGGCCCTCAGCCACATTGCCATTCTTCTGCCACAGGACAACAATCTGACCCACCATGAGCATTCCTGGCGGCTTCAAATGCACACTTTTACTCTCAAGAGTTATAAAAAGACGCTGTGTGAAGCCAGCTTTACAGGCAAATTTCACAGAGGCTTCACTTATTTAATACACTGCTCCACCGCATTTACAAGGCCAATGCCAATACCATGGACACTTCTGTACTGTCCAAATACAAGCTTTGTAATAATTGGCAAACAGGTTACAAATATTCATTCAAGCTCCGGTTAAGCATCCAGGTATGTGTCAAGCACCATGGAAACAATCTACAAGGGAAGAAACACAGGGCCAAGAACACACAGTGTAACTGGTGCTGGCACTCACAATTCTAGGGCCATCAACTCTGCTTAAGAGGTCAACATCCTGGAGGGCTTCTCACGGGAAGGGTCTAAAACAGCTTAGGGTGACATTAAGTCGTACAGGGGATCGTAGTTTGGGCTTTCTCTTGACAGCAGAGGGACACCTCCGGGCATCTGTGGCAGGGGGAAGTGATCCAATTTGACTTTTCAGAATATCCACTACAACTTGGGAACTAAGGAGTGGAAAGAGGACAAGAACAGGGCAAGAAGGCAGGCTATGGCTCAACAGTTGACCCGAGAGAAGAACCAGGAGAAGCAGCAATTGTGGTGAAATCTGAGTCACTGCAGCAAAAGGAAATGAGAAAACACTGAGGAAGCCTTGATCCAGGGAGCTACCCAGACCTCTGGCTTAGGGCTGGGGCTCCAAACTTGACACGGTTAAAAGAAAAGAGGTGGTAGGCGTGAGGGGCAGGGCCTCAACCGGAGACGACAACTTTTTGGCCACAAAGTGACCCTTCCAGAATGGCTGCCTGGTGTGCCAGGAAACCTCTATCAGAGACCCTCAGCTTCATCGCACACAAGCTACTGTGTGCCCAGAGCCTGTGAAACCTCAGCCGAGGAACCTGCTGGGCGAGTGCTCTCTGAGGCGCAAACCAATAGTGCTACCGTGGAAAACAACCTTGTCTCAGATGTATTTATTTAGCTTTGTCACGTAGAAGCCATGTGACCTTGGGAACATGATTTGGCCTGACTGTAAAATGGGGTCAACACTACCTCCTTTCAAAAACCGGAAGGGGGAAAAAAAGAGAAAAACAAAGATGAAATGAGAACACAGGTGAAAAAGTATCTGACACATAAAAGGAAACTCAACAACCTGCTTGAATATTTGCACAGGCAGAAAAATGGCAAGTCCCATCCATCCTCCAGAGTCACGGAAGGTGTCTGTGAAGACTAGGATGGAAGCCTCGCTGCGTGACTCCAATGCAGCACCAACAAGCCACAACACAAGGAAGCACCTAGAAAGCCTCTCAAATACTTACCACATTCGTTGAACTTGTCTTTTAGCATCTTCCATGTAAAATCAAATGGGAGCTGAGGGAGAAAAAGGAGACTGGTGAGTGATTCAACCAAATCCTAATGCACAAACATCAACTGTCTCAGAGTGCCCCTAAAACTTATCACACAGAGAAACTGGCTGACCTTCACACTGAGATTGATCAGCAGAGAACAAAGAGTCTGTCTGCGTGAGGTTCTAAACTAGCACAGCAAGTTCATTCCCTCCTGTCTGCATCTGTCTGTGGAAGCACCATGCACAGAGCAGAACACACAGCTGCCTGTGGTGAGCAGCCCACCGAACCACTGAACAGTAGCTAAAGGTGGTCAATCTGGTAAAGATAATTCAGATACAGCCTTTCCCCCCCACCCCTGAACTGTCGTGCCATGTCATTTAGCAGCTCATCAAGCTGACAGTTCAAGAAACTCAAATTCTTCAGATCACTGGCTTTTCCATCCAGTAGTCAGAGAAGCTTAGGATTTCACAAAACCCACTATTTCTGCTGCACGAGTATTCACGAGCTCTCACATTCCCTCCTCATTCTCCCAACACCAAACTTCGGGGAAAGTGGCAAAGGGCCCTTGCACGCTACTCAGCTCTCCCTCTGACTTCGACCTGTTACCACTCGGTCCTGCTGGCTTCCTGCCCCCTCCTCCCTTGTGCATACAACCCCTGAGAAGTTCCTGAAGAGCCACTTACATTTCTCACAAATATCTGGCAGGCCTTCCTGGCCACCCCAGGAGCATGGCCTCCGGCTCCACCAAAGGAACCTGCGAAGCTTCCTCCAAAGTTGCCACGCTCCATCTCGATGGCACGGTCAAAGCTGGCACCGCCACCACCACCCATGGCCAGGCCCATGCGCTCAATGCCAGCGCCCAGGGCCGGGCCCATGGCGGGACCCATGCGCTCCAGGCTGTTGGCGCCCATGCGCTCCAGGCCCATGCGCTCGAGACTGTTGGCGCCCATACGCTCCAGGCCCATGCGCTCCAGGTTGTTGGCGCCCATGCGCTCCAGGCCGGTGGCCATGCGATCCATCACAGGGCCCATGCGCTCCAGGCCTGCCCCCATGCCTGCGGGCACCATGCGCTCCATGCTCAGGCCCATGCGCTCGATGGCAGGGCCCATTCGCTCCACGCCAGAGCCCATGCGCTCGATGGTCTGGCCCACACGGTCAATGGGTGCGGCCATACGCTCCAGGCCAAAGCCCATGCCGGCACCCATGCGCTCCACACCAGAGCCGATGCGCTCCATGGTCTGGCCCATGCGCTCGATGCTGGAGGCCATGTGGTCGAGGCCCAGTGGGCCCATGCGCTCGATGCCGGAGCCCATGCGCTCGACTGAGCCCATGCGGTCCATGACCAGGCCCATGCGCTCAATCTCAGAGCCCACACGATCCATGCCGTGGCCCAGGCCTGCACCCATGCGCTCCATGCCGGCACCCCCAATGCGGTCAATGCCGGGGCCCATCCTCTCAATTCCAGGGACACTGCCTCCACCTCCACCTAAAACAGAGACATGAAATGTGTCAGGCATATGTCAGGTACTTGAGGATCTGTGTGCACACCATGCCAGGAGGGTTCCCTGGGTGCAGAGGCCTGGGCACTTCACAAGCTCAATCACGGTTCAGAAATTTTAAGTCCCACAATAAGTTATCATTAGATATCCTGCAAATGTTGACAACTGTTAAAGCTGGGTAGTGAGTACATCATTCTTCCTACTTCTGTGCCACAGTTAATTTCCATAATAAAATTTAAAGAGGGAAAAAACCCACCCCGAGAACTTTGATCAACAATGTTCTCCACATTACTTCGAAAGTGCTAATACTTGTGACAAGCTTTGTGAGCAACAGGCATCAACTCCTTGAGAACTCTGCAGTTTCCCCACCACCAGACATTGATAAAGGCTCTGGGGGGCGGCGGGGGGTGGGGGGAGCGCGAGGGACAGAAACCCCACACTCAGATGGTCACCCGACATAATGGATTACATGGATTATAATGGGGACAATTAAAATTGCTCACAACCTCTATCCTCTCCCAACTTGTCCCTCTACAATGCCCTGCTGGTAACCAGTCTGGCTGCATTTCCTTAGCACCTCCACGGCATAAGTAAGTTATTACACAGCCATGTAATCAGGCAGAGATAAAGAAAACAAACACCAACACCAATACAGATCCTCATGTACAAATGAACACAGCCAGCCACTTCTAGGGAACCTTACTCTGTCACGGAAACTGCCAACCGACTTTGCCGTGTGTAACTTTGCTAGCTTTGGAGGAAAAAAATCTGATGGCACTGCAGAGTAGATTTAGTAACAGGCCTGGGATCAGTCCCTCACTGTCATGGTTCAGCTGGACACACGCTGGCAGGTCAGCAGTGCACAGCCGACCCTGTGATGCTTACAATTCTGGAGAAGGAGGGTCTGGCTCCACCACCAAGGCCACTGGCCACCAAGTTTTTCCACATGCAGAGCCCGAGAGTCCCCCTCACTCAAGCTTCACGACCACCACCACCTGCCTCTGAAAAATGGGCAGCTGGGCCCTCAGCCAGCCCATTCTTGAATCAAGCAGCCCAGGCCAAGATGCAAATTCCAAAAGAGGAAATTCAGCCGTTTCTTTGATTCTCTAACTGACCAAAGCTGTGACCTCGCACGAGTCATGCCACTTCTCGGTGACTGTTTCCTTGGCTGAATAACAGTGCACCAAGTGGCAAAATATAAACACAATTTTAAGAATATTAAGCTTTCACAGCAGAAATATCTCAGCAACTATAAAAAATGTAAGAGACCTAGAGAGGGTGGGTAGCATCCCCAAAAGTACCAAAAATGAGGGTGACACTCCAGATGCCAATAGCAGCAGAGAACTAGGAAGAAACGGTACCCACATGGAGTTCTAGAATCAGCCCACCACAGAAATAAATCCAGCAAGTGGAGTTACCAAGGAAATGCCAAGATGCTCAGAGCCATGAGGAAAAAAAAAAAAAATCAGACTGAATTAAAGTACATTTAGTTTTAGGTACCCCTTAAAAAAAAGTGTATTAATGGGAAAATATATTCCAAAATATTTACAGCATTCATCGCAGGGCAATGAGATTTCAGGTATTTACTTTCTTCATAATGTTCTGAATTTTTTTGAGTACACGTATACATAGGAAACATATGCTATGATTAGGTGGTGTACACTTTTATAATCAGGTGAAATATTTACTTTTAGCAATTTACAATTTTATAATACTAGAAACAAGAAAGCCCCCAGATTACACATTTTGACAATGGCTAACGTGTACGCAGCACATACGTAGGTCCTCTTTTATGCATTAACTCATTTACTCTACAGAACAACCCTATGAGGTAGGTACCATTATATCCCCATTTTACAGTACGAAAAACAGAGAAGTTCAGTAACTTGCCAAATGTCACACAGCTAGGAGGAGCCAGAGCTGGTTCCCCACCCCAGGCAGTCTATTTTAGAGCCCATGCTTTCACCACTACACTACTATCCCCGGTAACACAGGCCTATTCTAAAAATCAAAACATCAAAACTAAGCGTTTCCTACCTCCTCCCTGCTTTGCAATGATCTCTCCTCTCTTCAGTGCATTACTTAGGATTTCTAAGGAAATCAGGAAGAAAAAAAAATTAGCCAAATTCCTCTACGGTAATAGAAATTTATTACAGATTCCAGAGCAGGACTACTACTAATTAAAAAATTAAAAAGGAAAGGGGAAGGGGTTGAGAAATATACACACAGACAAGGTCATTTTACTGGAAAACTGTAAGGGTCCTTGATGATGGGTCATGATGCTAGAGTTCCATGTAGCTCCAGAGTCTGAGGCCCAGTTGGCAGGGCCTCTGGTACTGCACCCACGAGCTGAACTTGGAAGGTTAGAGCAAGAATGGGGCCAGTAGCACAGTTTTCTAAAGCTGGTCCAGACACTCAGTACTCACAGACTGAAGCGTGCACTCACCCACCCAGATCCAATCAGCACCTCACAGTTACCCTTCAACAAACTACCGCTGTAGCTACACTTAGAGCCCAACCCCAGAAAACCAGCAGCAACCGCATGCAGTGCTGGAAATATGACCTAATCAACGAGCCAGGCAAGGGAAGACTGCAGCAAACTGAGCCTACAAGCCCTGCCTGGAAGGAGCTAAATGTGATGGTAACCAAGTGACAGACAAAGCCTCAGGTAAACAAAACCCCAACACACTCAGCTTTCCAAAACAGCAATACTGCTGCTTGCTGGCTGGCAGTTCATTCAAACCTCTATTAAGTTTGTCTAATGCTATCATTAGTGTTAGCTTTTAAGTTTCTTCTGGGTCTTTCACTATATAAAAGAAACTTGTACCCACCCCCTCTCTGGTCCTGAAGTGTGCTGAGCAACATGGACAACAGCCACAGAGCACATATCATATTTTGACCATGACCGTGAGAGATTAAACCCTAGCCCTGCAGCTGTTTCAAGTATTACAACTACCTGCTAAAGGAAGGGGATAGGAAAGTACACCAAGAAAACAGACCTCCAGCCAGGAAGCAAGACCAGGGCTTATTCTTCCATGATGCCTGGGAGCCTACTCAGCACGCCCAGGCCTAGGTTCTAGCTCCTAAAACAGCACTTGGATCAAACCATTCCCTGGCAAAAGACTTCACAATCAGCCGACCACCGATTTGAAGAGAAAGGCCAAATTATTTTCATGGGTGTTCACAGGGCCCCCTGCTCTGACTTAAAACTTTATAATCTGTTCTGTCCTTCCCACCCCAAATAGACTGACATCTCCAAGCCTGTGCACCTGATGCTGTCCGCCCTCTCTGTGGGCCAGTACCCCACTTCTACCTATGCTGAAGTCCAGCCCCTCCAGCGTGAACTGCATCTCCTGCATGGTCTTCTTACACCCCTGCCTGGATCCTGTGTTCTCTGAGCAAAACACTTCTATCAAGCATCTAGAGCAGTGCTTTTTCAAATCTTAACACAGAAAATGATCGCCTTTGTGTGGTGCTCACATAGCTGCCGAGAGCCCGGGAATCAACATCTCCACTGGATCCCTCAACTAGGCCACTTCTACGTGCTGATCTCTGGTGCTGCCCCAAGCCACTCTGAGCACCGTCTCCTCAGCTACACCACATCCTTCAAAGTTAAGGATCACATATCTATCTATAGCCCTGGAGCACCAAGTACAGTTGTTTGCACAAAGAACTACTGCCTTGATAGGAAAGAAGGGATACTGAATAGGGAGAGCACTACAAAAGTAGCACACCAAAATGATCCAACTGTCAAGTAAATAATACAGAAAAAAAAGATCAAGAACTGAATCTGAAAAAAAAAAACACAATCCAGGCAACTACTCTGAAAACCTGACTTAAAGATTTTACTTGGTACAAAGACCATTTCACTAACTTGAGTCTGATCATAAGTAGCAGGAGAACAAAAGCTCCTTGCTCTTGCCCATGGTCACTCTGGGAAGCCTCAGGACAAACAGACCATGGTCTCAATCAGAAAGAAGGTGCCAAAGTAGCAGGAGATAGGCCTGCAGATGACCTTCCTATATTCAGGTCAGGACAGGACGTGTTTCCTGATGCCACGTGAAATAACCTCACCAGTCCACCTCTTGTGCCTCCACAGGATCTGGGACAAGGCTGACAAGCCTCATCACAGAGGTGAGGTGAGAGGACCCAGAGCAGCAAAGGACTGAAGGCTCAAGAGCAGCAAAAAGTGCCTGTGGGAGGAAAGTCACGTGCCATTTTGTTCTTCTCACCACAGGTATCCATCCACAAATTAGTATTTGCAGCCAAATGACAATAAATTAAAATTTTTTAATACCCTACCATTTCAAGACACAAAAAACAAAGCCAGTCATGGCAACAAGAAACTTTTAACTGACCTAGTCACATACAGATTATGAACTCACCCCCAAATTCTAAAGCTCTGGAACAATCTAGAATAAAGCTACAGTCATATCAAGTAAGTACAGAAAAAGTAAATCTTCAGTACCAGCTACTTTTTTTCCTCTTTTTTTTCCTCCTTTTTCTTTTTTCTTTTTTTAAAGAAGAAAGCAAAGCTAGTTTTGATGCAAGAAAAATCACTTAATTATCCTAACCATGGTCAGGGGGACAAATGAAACAAAAGCCAACAGTCTACTCTGAGAGAAACAGTTCCTAATAATTCCTGGTTTCCATGAAGGAAACAAAGAAGATAGGATTCCTGGAGATAAATACAGCTCAGCTCATACAAACTAGACATAAAAAAGCTTAAAATCCTCACAGCTAGCCCAAGGTGTCCCATAAAGACAGGCTGAACACTCTTTGAGGTTATCACCTAGTAGCCGCCTATCTGCACAGGCTGAGAAGCTGATGAAGATGGAGGAGGGGGTGTTGGGGAGAGAGTTATCCATGCTCTAAATCTCCTTTGAGAGAAACAAACTTCAGAGCCCAGGAATAGACAATCTCCTTATTCCAAACTAAGAATCAGGCTGACAGATTCTCAGAAACGTCTAAACTCCAAACAGGGGAAGACATCCATGGAAAAGTAAAGAAGAAACTGCTTTGCAAACTAACCAAAACTACATTTAGACAGACCCAATACTCCAGGCCTTCCAACATTAGGAAACTTCCCTGTTCACCAAGATCTCTTTCAATTGCATCAGCAAGCACACCGTCATCCTTTGTTAACTGGAACACCAGAGGCCCCTGGACTAAGGAGACTCACACCCCCACTGAGCAGGGCCTTGAAGATCTCTACCGTGACTACACAGCCACAACGTCATGTAAACACAGCAGTTTTTAACTCCACAGCAAGAAAACACCTTATACCAATGTGAAAAAAGCAGCCATCTGAAAAGACTAAAGACAAATGGTGCTGTTGATACCAATAAAAAAATTCAAGGACCAAAAGTTCGTATCTAGACCTAGAAAACATACAATTTTTTTAAAGCCTAAGGAAAAATAGCTGACTTTGCCTAAGAACCTCCCGACATCAGGGTGAGCCTGCACCCCCGGGGGGTTGACCCCGCCCACATAGGGGCCCATGGGGCCTTCTTACCCATTCCTCTGCCAAGAGGCTCTCCAAAGCTTCGAGACATTCCCATTTCATTTCTGGCAAAGTCTCTCTCAAATCCTCCACCCATGCCACGCTCCATCTCTGTGGAAAAAAATATTACCCTAGGCCTTTCCAAGAATACCATCATGTTTTAGACATTAAAAACAAAAAACTATAAACACACAACAGCTACCAGCAAGTCAGCATGTTTTAGTTTTTCTATAGGAAACCATCGTTCATCCTTTATTCCTTAAAAAAGGAAGTCACCTCAAATGAATCCCTGAAAACAACCCACCTTTAGTCCATTAGGACTAATTTCCAGCTTACACACAGTCACACAATGGATACACCAAGCACCCAGTACTGCAGTAACTGGTGTGGGGAGGCTGCAGTGCATGAGGCATCAAAGGTAGGCTGCAGGAGAGCCTGCCTATGTTACAGCAGCAGCAGGTACCACTTCTGGGGCACCTCCCACATGCCCTGCCCTGCCCAGGGCTTTATATGTGCTATTATTTCATGGAATCCTCACAACCAGACTGTACACCTACATTACCCTCCATCACCACTGCCCCTTTACAAAGAAACTGAGGCTCAAATGACAGCATCTTGACCAAGGTCACATGCCTGGTAAGGAGTGAGGCAAAGGCTGGAACCTAACTCCAATGCAAAAACCCATGTTCCAATCACAAGCACAGCCATGAGAACAGAGAAAGACGCCTGTGTGCAAACAACATGACTTCTCTACTGACAACTGGAGTGGTTTCATCTACATAATGGGGTTTGGTAACTTCATTATTTTTTTCTATGCTGACTGCAGTAGTATTTGTTGTTTTTCAGTGTCTTTTTTTTTAAACAAATTTATTAATTTACTTATTTATTTTTGGCTGTGTTGGGTCTTCGTTGCTGTGCATGGGCTTTCTCTAGTTGCGGCGAGCGGGGGCTACTCTGTTGCGGTGTGCGGGCTCAGTAGTTGTGGCGCACGGGCTTAGTTGCTCCGCGGCATGTGAGATCTTCCCGGACCAGGGCTCGAACCCGTGTCCCCTGCACTGGCAGGCGGATTCTTGACCGCTGCGCCACCAGGGAAGTCCCACAATGTCTTTTAAAAACAAAGGTCTTCGGACTGCCCTGGTCCGGGAAGATCTCACATGCCGCGGAGCAACTAAGCCCGTGCGCCACAACTACTGAGCCTGAGCTCTAGAGCCCGCAAACCACCACTACTAAGCCCACGAGCCACAACTACTGAAGCCTGCGCACCTAGAGCCCATGCTCTGCAATGAGAAGCCTGCGCACCGCAACGAAGAGCAGCCCCCACCCGCCGCAACTAGAGAAACCCCGTGCGCAGCAACGAACATCCAACGCAGCCAAAATTAAATAAATAAATTTATTTAAAAACAACAACAAGGTCTTAGCTTCTGTGGGGGAAAAGCCCCGCCACAGCTGTCACCTGTTTGAGAAACCCTTTCATGACTCCTGTCACTGGCTACTTCTTTCCTTGTATATTCATCTAAAGCAAGACTTAAAATGTGCATCACACTTTGTCTCCTTTCCATACCGAGAGGTCCCTGGAAAACCCAGTTAATTAATCTTGCTCCTTAGAAATATCAGGTATACATGTGCTACATAATGGACATCTTTTACTGCACAACTACAAAATATGCAGCTGGAGCCCCTATACTTTGAAAGAAGTAAATGAGTCTATTACAAACGTGGAAGCGGACTAGCATTATGAATTAATAAGAAGATGCAGCAGATGACAATGGTGGACTTTACATTCATAGCTTGAATCCACCCAACTGAATCCCATAGGTTGGTGGCATGCTATCTGCTGGAAATATATCTAACTTGTGCGAGCCTGTATATGCAGAACAGAAATCCCAGAGTGGCACCGTAATGGATGGGGGCTCTCCTGCACTCCTTTAATCCTTACCGTAAGCCCGTGAAGAAGACACCCCCCACACACATTAGGAAGTCACATGCAGGCAGTAATGTGTTGGCAAAGGCCTCAGAATTTATCTTCCCAACTGTCAACAGAGTGTAGAGTACAGGGAACCAACCCTGTACGAACTCCAATGTACTCCCCACCGACACAAAAAAGAGAGCAAGAGAGACAGAGAAAGAATTTTCATTGTCAAATATTGCATCAAACCAGTCATCATTTAATATTTGATGATCTTTCAATTTAAAATTTTTGTACCCGTTCTATAAAGATTTGACCTCTACTGGTTGGCTGACTAGCCCTGAGAATCTGATTTCTAATCAGTCTAATGTTGTCAGCACCTGTGACTATAATGTGATGCATCATGATAATCAACTAAACATTAAGTTAAATCTGAAACATCCCTATCAACTTTTTCCCAGTGATCAAAACCTTCCTTGGACGCAGCACCCAAGGGCTCTAGAGCCAATTCCACCCAAATCTCAAAGCAGCTCCAGGGCAAGGAAGGCCCTGTTCTCTGCTGTAGAGGATGGAGAAGGAGGACTCTGAGCATCTATCTGTATCAGAGAGCAACTAATAAGCACACAGCGTAAGAACACATCTTCCACTGTGGCTCTTCAGGACAATCAGCACTCTGAACCTTGAATCACCAGGCTCAGAAGCGTGACTGCTGCATTCCACCTGCCAGATTACCAAAGACTTTGTCCCCGTGGCTCAGCACAGTTCCCACCCTCGTTTCCATCTACTTCTAAGTCGCATCACTAAATTCCTCAGAGCAGCAACCCAAATCTCCTTTCTAATGGCTCATCTGTTCTGAGCAAACACTTTATTAAGCCAGACCTCTCCAACTCTCACTTTTTATTAAAAACTCCATGCACACATGAGCTAAAGGCAAGCCTGAAAGCACACTGGAAACACAGACCTTTGTCCCTTCATTCCTTATTAATGGTAAGAACCTTCCTGAATCTCTTCATCATCATCTAGAACAAGGCACTCCATGAAGAAGGGCAGCTTATTCATCAGGAATGTCACTCTTTGCAGTTTGACAGTTAATATCTATCCTAGTAAGGTTCTTGCTTGCTCTGTACCATCTTCACATGATATGTTACTACAGACCAGCAAAGAAACATTTAAACCCAAGGCCTTATGTGTATAACTGAGTCACTTTGCTGTACAGGAGAAATTAATGCAGCATTGTAAATCAACTATACTTCAATTTAAAAAGGAAAAAACAAAAGAAACCCCAAGTCCTTAGTAACTTCCCATTCCAGAAAAGTCTGTGTATAAAAGCAGCAGCATTCCCACAGGTGTGGGTCAGAGTCCACCCACACCCAGAGGATTTAGAAAGACAGATTTTCGTAACAGCAAGTTTCTCCTGGCATTTTACAGCCCTGCTGGTGGGCGTGGGCGGGGGCGGGGGGGGGGGGGGGGGGGGTGACGCCTGAAGGCAATTCTAAAAGGCAGAATCTCAGTGTGATTAAGAGCCAAGCTCTGGAGCCAGACAGCCGGGGTCCATATCCCACCATTACTAGCCATCGGACCTTAGGCAAGTCACTGTGGGCCTCAGTTTCCAATGAAATGGGGATAACAGTACCTACACGTCATGCGGTTCTTGCGAGGACTAAATGAAATAACACAGTGTTACTACTACAAGTGATATAATTATATTTCGGTTATTAAGTTGGGAGGGCTGGAAGATTTAAATAATAGTATGCCAAATTTTGCATTATATAAATGCTAAATTAAACAAATGCCTCTGCTCACAATTTGGAGACATCAGAGCAGATGGTCAAGAACTCACCCAGTCCAGCACTCCAGGGGAGACAAGTGCTGGAGGCAACAGGAAAGCTTTAAAGTTTTATTGGACAATTATTGGGAAGATCTGAAACACGGAAAACCTCAAGAATTAAGTAACTAAGAGAATTAACACTTCCCTGCCACTAAGTCTAGCTTCTGGAATACAAACTATTTAAGGCAATTCAAAGATATCAGATTCAGTACAGAAGTGGAAGCGAGAAATCACTTATTAAAAATGGGTCTGCTGCCTAAAGGTCACCTGAGAGCCGACAGCCAACAAAGGTAGGTATAAGCAGGAAGGAAACACAAATCTTACCGTTTATTCTGCCCATGTTCATCCCAGATCCAAATCGACCCATGTTTTCCATACCACCACCAAAGGGTCCCTCCATGCCTGAAAGAGACATTCGCATTTTAGCACCAGCCTAACAAGGCTCAGACTGAACAAGCAAAGAAAAATGTTTTTACAAGTTTCACCTACGGCACTGTCTGCCAAAAACTCACTTAAGGGCTTTGGGAGAAAAAAGGCTAGTGCCTTTACTTAAAAATCACTATCTTCAAAAGGCTGATCTGATCCAACCCCCTCAATGAAGAGACAAGCAAAGAAGGCCCAGAGAGATGGAGCGATTTGCCCAAGGTCACAGAGCTAGTTAGTGAGAAAGCCAGAACCAAAGGCCAAGACACCCACTAGAAGGATCAACAGGTAAAAGTTATTTCTAGACTCAAACTTTTTGGAAACCTAAGTGAGAATTTCATGCAGGGCTTAAGAGAAAAGGAAGGGGGCAAAAAAAGAGGGAAAACCATACCTAAAAGTAATTACATTTGTACTTCATTTTAAATTTCTTACCTCCCATTTTATTTATTCCAAATCCTATGCCTTCCATTCCCATTCCTTAAAAAGAAAAAGTCAATGCAAACTAAAATTATGTCAAAGCAGTAAAGTTTGAACTTAAAAAGCACAAGAAATTCCACACCAGCAAATGAGCAAAAATATCCCTGACTACAAATATATTTTAATTGCCAAGTGCAAAAATGGGGTGGGGGCGCTTCCATTTCAACTGTCAAACTAGTACATTCCAGGAAAACTATTTAAGCCTTTAACAAAATAATCACCATGTGACTCAAAATTTTATAGTGTCCACATAGTTTCATTAAATGCCCAAGGTAGACAGTTTTAAACATGAAATATAAATATCAGGTACAGACTACGGAACAGAAGTAGATTTAAAACTCCCTTTTAAAGGTACAACGCTCTAAATAAAAAGCAGTTCCTCAAAACGCTGAGGCTTCCCTCCCCGCCACCCGCAGCCTTTCCTCTGAGGTATCAGGGGATGTGGTGTTCAGACTGGCCACCCAAGGTGATGGGCCAAGACGTTTTGGTCAGTCCCAGAGTTTAATCTGGGAGGGAGTCAAAGGATATGCAGAACTGACAGTAGTACGGTAGAGGGCATCCATCTTGCAATTCAAAGAATTTCAAGAAAGACATAGGCCTGAGGTTATAAAAATGAAATATTTTAAAATGATATACGAATACTTCGTTGCATGAAAACGAAAATGCTAAAAAGTGAAGTTCAAAGTCTATTCTACATGCCAAAGCTTTTATTCATTAGCTATTTTTCTTCTTAAACAAAGACAACACTGTGCATCATTCGTCCTTGTGGCCTATGACAGCTATGCGGTCATGCAATGAGGCCCTCCATACCTTTCTGCATCCACCAACGCCCCTACCTCTAGAAGCCATGTCAACACCAGGTGAGAACCCAAGGGGGTCTGGGTAATAGACTGTGGCAGTGCTGTGGTCCCAGGATCAGGAGACCTACAGTTTCTGTCACTAACTGATAGTGTGACCTTGAGCAAGACCAACCCTCTGGCTTGCCTCCTTTTACCAAAAGGTTTAACTGAGTACCTCAGCTCAGAAGGTCTCGTGAGGATAAAATGCAAGCATAATAGCTTTAGAAAAGAACACTCAACTTGGTAAAAATACAAAATACTGTTTTTATCAAAAAGGATCAAAGATAAATAAGGAGGGAATTAATTTTGTCCCAATTAAAGCCTCATTCCATTTGAACTACTCAATGTCCAATTATCCCAATAGTTAACTTTAATAACTTTAACTTCCCCAAAAATCCCCAGTCGAGGTACACCGTATTTCTCACCTGCGGGTCCTATGTTGCCCATTCCAATGCCTTTATTCAAATGATTGGCGTCAATAGGCTGCCCTCCTGGTCCTAACCCCATGCCAATACCACCAAGTCCATCTGAAAGGAGAAGAGAAAGTCAGAGTATTGATTCCACTTACTCAGGAAACCATGACTCTCAAAGCCAAAAAGAGCCTTGGTTTACCGTGTAGCTGTTATGCTTATCCCACCGCCCACCTCCACCAGCAAACCCAGGGTCTAATCCATGAGTCAACAAGGGCGCATTTAGGAGCTCTCCCTTTTAAGGCATAAGCTCTTATACAACTTTACGGATTAGAGTGTGAGGTATGTATAAAACAAGGGCACCACGTGCCACAACTACTGAAGCCCATGCGCCGAAAGCCTGTGCTCTGCAACAAGAGAAGCCACTGCATGAGAAACCCACTCGCCGCAACTAGAGAAAGCCCACGAACAGCAACAATGACCCAACGTAGCCAAAAATAAATAAAGGAAAAATAAATTTTAAAAAATTAAATTAAATTTTAAAAATAAAACAAGGGCAACTAAAAATCAGTTCACGTGAAAACTACAGAGTAGAACCATGAACAGCCCACTCAACGAGAATTGTGAACACCGATTTGTTTCCCTAAATCGTGAACTGAGAAATGTTTAAAATCAAAACAGGCAACTGGAGACATCAGGTGGCAAGCGGTACACATATGCCCAACCCACACCTCTCAACCTGCAGACCCAAAGGACTTTTCTCACGATAAACAATGTCATAAACCAGCCAATTAACACACTGGGCTTACCCTATTCTGACTCCGCTGCAGGCAGTTTTAACAATGAAGCTAGTGTATTCAAAGAACATATCTTCTACCCAGAAAGCTTCCTAAGGCGTGCATTGTACCCAAACCACCTTCAACTCCCTGTTCCACAAACAGGGAGCAGCCAACAAGGCCTGACAGCCTAAGACACTTACAGTGCTCTGGGTCACCATGGGTCGGAGGCTTAAACCAAGACCAGGTGAGATTTCTGAAACGGGAACAAAGTTCACTAAAACAACCTGACACTGGTTCCCAAATATTTAATCTGATTAAAATCCCTGTTCTTAAATTGCATAGAAACAGCAGCAAGAGCTCACCAAGGTTACTTACTCCCCAAAGCACTGAAGACTTTGAAGTCAACCCTCTGAAATGTGCTGGGGAGACCAAAAGCCACAGATAATGGGCTCCGTGGAGCCCAGTGTGCCAGACGAGGCTACCAAGCAGCCCTCACCCCCCTCCTCCAGGCCCAAAGTCAACAAGAGCCATCGCCCTGTTCCTGGGTAATTACTGCAAGTGATCACACTGACTATGACAAGGAAATGGGGTCCTTAACTTTCAACAGATAAGCCATCTCCTATTCTTGAAACCACAGACCTCCGCTCAAATCTGCCTCTATGATGCTTCTACAATCCTAAAGTGCGAAGAAGAGTTAGTGTTCTAGTCTAGGCTCCCATTCAGTTCAATCTCCCACAGCTGAACCACGGATCCAGACAGGAGGGACTGGCCAGCCCTCCAAACAGCTCCACCCCAGCAGCCTCAGCGGGGGAAGTCCTCCCTAGCACAGCACAAGCAGATTTTGCCCTTACCCACCACCCAGTCTTCCTTCTACAGATTAGCCCTGCCCGCACCGCAGATTCCCCAACCCTCATGCTACAGCAGGCCCTCACCCCCACTCCCTGGGCTGTCTGTGCTCAGGCTCTGCTGCTCTCTGTGGGCCTGCCAGAGGGAGTGCCTAGGACTTCACTACTGTGCGCTGTTTCCACCCACGCGGTGACGAACCAACCAACAAGCCTTCCCTGTCCCAGGATAGATTTTCACCTGCATGTTGCAAATAACACTATGTAAAACTTCTGGTTGCTGTACTTCACACACCATAAAATTCGCCCATTTAAGTGTGCAGTTCAGTGATTTTTAGTATATTCAGAGTTATACAACCATTACCACTATCCAATTCCAGAACATTTTCATCACCCCCAAAAGAAATCCCATCCCCATAAGCAGTCACTCTCCACTCACCCCTTTCCCCAGCCCCTGGCAACCACAATCCACCTGTTGTGGACTCGCCTATTCTAGACATTTCTCAGAGATGGAATCAAGGTTCATCCATTCTGTAGCATGTATCAGTACTTCACTCCTTTTTACGGCTGAGTACTATTCCACTGTGTGGATTTATCACATTTTATTTACCCATTCATCAGCTGGAATCATGCTGCCATGAACATCTGTGCACAAATTTCTGTGTGGATGTTAAGTTTTTAGCTCTCTTGTAGTATACCTAGGAGTGGAATTGCTAGGCCACATGGTAATAACCAATCTCTTTTGAACCAAAGTGCAACCTGGCTTTAATTCCCTTTGCAGTGTTTCTTCCCAACTACAGCCTCTACATCCTGAGTAGCCTGCCTCACACCACAGTGTAATCCTAACAATCCTTCCTAAGTTGTGAATCTCTCTACTCATTTTTTCACCCAGAAAAATCTACAGGGCAAACAAACAAACAACCTTCTTGAATGTTTTACTCAAGAATGGTCAAGATAACTGACACGGCACAAGAATGACATGGCACAAGTTCAAAGGTAATTGCAGTTTTCTGGTTAGAATAAATCAAATTCAAAATTTTAGCCATAATAACTGAGACACTTACGGGGAAGTTGTTGTGGACGCTCAGGAGGGAAAAAATCTCCCTTTGGTAAGGCCCTCTCATCCTGAAAGAGAAAATGAATAAATCTCAGTATTCCCTGCAGTACTGTTAGCAACAGCAAAAGATGGAAACCATTTCTATCAACAGAGGACGGGTTAGATGCATTACGATACATCCATGCCACAGAATAACATGCAAGTATAAAAAGAATATGTGAGAGTTAGTTGCTACCTTTTATGTACAGGGGGAAAGATTTAAAAAATATACATTCATATCACTGTGGGGGATGGATGGAACCTGGGCATAAAGTAAGAACAAGACTCCCACACTGAATTTTTCATGCTTTTTGACTTTTGAATCATGTGAAGCAATTATCTATTCAAAAAACTAAACTGAATGTTTAAAGGAACTAAAAAATTCCTTTAGAGCTCCTTTTATGTCCTTCCTGATTTGGAACCCTAACTAACTAGACTGCCCTCAGCACGTTCTGGTCATGCTTGTATTAATACTGTTATCTTTGGCATCTTGGGCACAGCCATAGCTGGGCTAATGTTTATACTGAAACGCTTCAACAGAACTTTAAAGTCTTTCTGAATCAGATTTAATTATGTTCACAATAGATATGATGCTAATTAAACGTACTGCAATACTCTGAAAACTGGCAACCTATATATATAAAACCATTCTGTGAAACTGATCACTTGCTCAAGCAGGATATGCAAGTGACCTCCTGACCATGCCAGTAACTGTGCAAAGGAAAAACTATCTGAGGAGGTGCATGAGCAAAAAGTTATTTCTGTCATAAATTTGCTCAATGTGCTGTACCCTTTAACTTGGACTGATCCATAAAGAAAGTACAGTGGCTATGTGTATGTATACTCTTAATAAACCCATGTTTTTGCTAAACTTATCTGAGTATATTAAAGGAAAGATCCTATTAACTTACCATTTTCACGTGCATTGGTCTGTCAAATAGCAGTTGGCCATTAAACATAGCTGATATTACAATTAAGGCTATTTCCTGCAATTCTAGAAACATGCACAGCATAACAGAAATACCTAAGAGAAAAATACTCCAACTGCTGCTACCAGTCCCTCTAAGTGGTGAATTTATGAGCAATTTTGATTCCTGTTTATACTTTCAAGTATTTATTCCTACAGTAAGCATTAAAGGGACAATAAATAACACTCAAGGGGAAAAAAAGGAAACCTCAGCTTACTCCTTAGGTGTGGCGCGCCATTCATAAAACCTTACACTTCGCACCAAACCATCCTCCTCTTAAATTAAGCACTGACATCAGTTTTCTGTGTGTGTCCAATAAGCCAGGTGTTCTACCATTTTTTGGAGTACCATGTTTTCCGGGTAATACACTCAGTGACAATCGTGCCTGAGTTTAGTGACAGTGTTCATGTGTGGTATTCTCCCTGTGACTACAAAGATGTAACTCGGGTGAGTAGGGTGAGCAGCCTAGGGTCAGAGAGAAGTGCTTCTTCCAGAATGTCAATCCACTGAAGAGATAGGTCCCTATAAGGGCTTACATATGAAATAACACTGAATTTCTCTCCAGTGGCACATTCTTTGGACTTCTCCCTTCAAACCAGTCTCCTCTAAAAAGAGACAATGGAAAAGACCACTCATGGATATGTGCCTGTTTTCTAACCATCTCTTCTATCTACATAAGTACAATACTATGTAGATACTTTGTATTCCCTTAGTAATATCCATAGTAACATATTCTCTCGAGTCACATAGGAAATACTAATACACAAAATCACCACTTCCCCACACAAACCTGTCTTACTAATACAACATTTAGGCTAAACTAAATTCACCAGGAGTTGAATTCCGATCAAAGGATACATATAGCTTGCACAGCTTCAATGGACTGTTCAAAAGTAACAGTGCCTATTCCACGACTTTTTCCATCTTTATCCTCAAGAATGTCTGCTCGGACCACCACACCAGCCATACTAAAAACTTCCTTCAGTTTCTTCCAGCCAACTTTATAATCCAGCTAACCAAGAGAAAGGAGAGGAAAATCTCATTGTAAACATTTTTACTACATGAATGTGACATGCTCTGGTTGGAAAACAAGCATTAGAAAATGTCACAAAAATAATGTCACAAAAATATGTCAGTATAATTTTTCAAACAGGATTACGAAAGTTTGCCTTCTACTACTTACTCTTTTCTCTGAAATAACAATTTAAGTCACCTCATACCTTTCAAGTTAATGCTTATTTTGTGAATACTAAAAAATGCTGTTCCCCAGATAAGGTTTACCATCATCCTCCCCAATCCACTTTCTTTTAAAAATACTTCCCTGTGCAAATGGCAAAGTATTACCATTCACCCAGACATTAACAGGAAGAGGGAAATGTCAATACACAATCTCTGCTCATACACTTTACCCTGCACCTACTTTTATACACACCAGCAAAACTCCATAAACATGGCCCCAAGAGGACCATGGTCAAGCCTGTGTGACTTATGACTGCAGTGGTCATTAGGGGACAAAGCCAAGCCCAAGGATGATTTTTTAAATAAATCAAGAAGATAACATAACCCTCTTTTAAGTTTTTCTTCTCAAATGTCAGAACTACTTTTATAACACACTGACAAGATTGTCTAAAGTAGAAAATCAAACTTTATGAAACAATGTTTCCATTTACTTACATTTGCTACAAATACTGTGCTTCCAAGTCTTCCAGCCTGTAATGCATGGATAATCTCATTTGGGATGTTAGGATTATTTAGGATACTGGGTGGGATATTAATCATTCCTGGGCCACCTGGTCCCATACCCATCCCACCAGTCGTAGCCATCACCTTTTGCATTGCTCTCCTGGCATGTTCACCATCAGGATCCTAAAACAAGCACAAAAGGGTTACATTTAACTGACCCAGTGACAATTAAAACCATGCTCCCACAGTAAGTGATACCCCCAAAACTTCAGAGATTGAGAGGTTGTTTGGAAACCATTTCTCAAAATCTGTAACAAAAAATTCAAATGAAGTAAAACTAAACCACCAGGCCAGGAACAATTCTAGCCAAAAGAATGAGGAAGAAAGAAAGGGTGTAGAATTTAACTCTCAATTAACTAAGTAAAAAAACAAAAAAAGGGAGGGCGGGGGGATGACATGATTAAAACTTCCAGGTTGAAATAAGATCTTCAAGGGCTTGGTACAATTGAACCTCACTAACTCAAGGGGGTTTTATAATTTCTGCAAACCCAACTGGTGATTTTCCCAAAAGTTTGAAAACACAGCTCTAGACCACCAAGGTACTCCATCCTTCAAGTATTCAGGCATTTGACTCATGTGTAAAGTCTGGAAAGGTTTATGCATCTCTGGTGTTGACAATATTCTTAAACTCTTTGCCCTTCTGCGTGCTACCTTCACACAAGAGAACTTAAGCGCTACCATGCTTTCCTCTCTGAGCTCGCATATACTGATCTTCCTCCAAGAATAAGAGGTAAAAATAAGTCAAGGAAGGATTGAATTAACAAAAAGTCTCCCACTTCCCTACAGGGAGAGAAGATACCTGATTTGGATTAGCTATGAAAAAGGATTTAAACTCATTTTAAAAAAGAAAAAAGATGGGCAAAGAACAGGGTTCAGACTGAGTAAAACTGTAGATGTAGAATACCTTAAAACAAACAAACAAAAAAACAAACACACACACAGTAAAAAAAACAACCATGGACTCAGTTTGACTGCCCCTGAGAAAACCAAGGCAGGCTGGCCTAATACAAATCAGAGATGTTAGGAAGGCAGTCAGCAGTGGCTCAAGATGTGCTCAGCCACTATCCCAAAGTGCTTACAGGAATGACTGCTGAAGCCTGTGACTGACCCTCCTCGTTAACGACAACAGGTTGTTCTGCTCCGTAAAATGTCATCAAGGACTATTCTGTCTTTTCCTAACTCGAAACAGGGACACTCGACAACTACAAATGGTATCCACCACGGTGTTTCATGAGCTTACTTCTTTGACTTTCAGTGGTCTTCCACTCAGACTATGCTTGTTTAGAACTTCAGCAGCTTTTTTCATGCTCTCTTCCATCTTGAATTCAACAACGCTATGAAGAGTCAAAAGGAAATAAGTGAAACCAGTCCTACAACTTAGAAGGCTCAAGTGCCAATAAGTAACTAGACAATACTTACGCACATCCCTTTGGAAGAAGCCACAGACAGTCAGAAGAGCAAAGGGAAAAAAAAGAAAAGAAAAAAAATAGTAAATTTCAATGACAGTTATAAATTAAAAATATGATTTATGTAACAGTTTTTAAATTAACCCTTCTAAGGGGAAGCTGACAGAAGTGTCTTGCCTAGCCTTCCTTATTAAGAGCTCAGCTCCTTGGTATCTCCTCTTCCTTCACATTACCAGCATTGCACTATAGCTGCTGAAGTTATAATGAGCAGACCTAAATTCAGGTTCTCCGAGAAATCACACAAACTTTAGATCTGCTTCTCTCTGTACTCAATCAATTCCTTATCATACTCCTCCTAAATCCATCCCTTCCATAAATTAAGCTCATCCTTTTGATTATTCTAAGCCATTCTATTGCACGACAGAAAATAGTTAATTTTCTCTTTAAACTAGGCCAATTTTAAACGTTCAAGTTTTAGTATTTGTTTTACAATTTACTGGCACAAAGGCAACTTTTCAGAATCTTTGGTTCACACAACTTTCAAATACAGCAAACAACCAAAAGTAACATTTTCTAGACAAGAACACACGTTTTACATTAATATACCACCGCTAAAATTCCATGCATAATTCACACACAGCCAATTCCTCTGTTAACAAAGAGACAATGCTGCTATTGGTCCCCAGTTATCCAAATTGGGCATCCAAACAGAATACCAAAAAGCTCTTTGCCCAGCCATTTGGAAAAGCGGGACTCCCGTTTGCAAATCCCCTCCCACCCCACTCAAATGTTTGGCAAAATCAAACATAGCTACTATAACATGAGCACTCACTGCCTTCCTGATTTCATTCGATTCCACGCCACCATACAGTTACATTTTTCATGTAGTAAATCCACAGAAGAAATTCTCTCAGACACTTACCCTTGACTTTCCTTCAGCGTCCATTAAGAGCTCCACGTATGTTACCTCACCAACTACAAATCAGTTTCCAGACGACACATAAACCAAGGGAGAAAAGCCAAGAAAACAATGGGAATTTAGAACAATCATCAGCAACCTTGTATGGAGCCTCTGCCTTATAAGAAAGCCCAGAAACACTCCATATTCTCTAAACCACCACACTAGGCATTACAGGTGTGCAGTAAAAGTAGGTGAAACTTGTTAACAATGTCCTTGATTTTCCTCCCACCTCAAACAAGCTATTTCCACAGATTTCCATATCAATTTCCCTGTCTGAAATACTCATTCATGACTAGAGGCAATCCAAATCTACAGGAAAGAAGTCTGCGTGATTCACTTTTTTGGGGAAAGAGGAAAACAATTTTACAAATACACTCTTAATATTGCAAGAAGGTGAACAGCACACAAATTGCAATGCCACTGAACTGAGCTCAAATGCTAACTACAAAGACGCGTATATGTATAATATATATCCTCAAAGGTGCACACACGGCATGGCCGGCTACGTGGGTGTGCAACCTGTCCAATCGCATGGGACTTTGCACTGAGGGCCATGCACTTGGGTTTAATGCTCTGTTGCTGTCTTGAAATTCTCAGTAATTTTTAAATAAGGGGCCCTGTGTTTTCATTCTGCACTGGGCCCCACAGATTCTGTGGCTGGTCCTGCACACAGCACTAGGCTCCACAACCGTCACAAGTAGGATGTGTAAATATTCTATCACAAAACCAGAGCAGCATCTGGATTCTCTTCAGTGAATTAAAATTAAGCCAGGCTGTATTCTTGCTGCTCTCTCAACCTTCTCATTTAAGGACACAGATAAATGCAAACTCAGAGCTCAGTTTGCATCTAAACAGCTACACAGACTCACTTAGGATGCTAATCTATACAAAAGGGGAAAAACAAAGCATTTCAAAAGGTTCTGCAGATTTTCCTCAAGGTTTGGATTGCCAATTCATGACCACCACAACCAGATGTTAGAACCCACCTAGACAACCACCAAAATGGCTGCTGAACTTGAAGATGGCACACAGACACCAAAAAACCCCCAGAAATTTAAGTGTTAACTTTGTGGAAACAATATCTAAGCAGGCTCTCCAAAGTCAAGAAAGGGCTTTTGTTCTAAGAAATACTTTTTCTTTTTTAACGATTATTTTTATGATGGTAAAGCCTTCTCTCATTCAGTTTTCAATTTGGTTTAGCAGCCAAGGGTAAAAATAACCCTCTTAATGGGCCCAAGTCCTTCCTAGTCTAATTCCTTTGTTCAAAGGATATTAAAATTATTATGAAGATTTTAAAATTAATACACCAAGGAAAGACTGAAATGTAAAGTAAAAGTATTTTTAAAAATTTGAAGGGCATATTTATTAGTAGTATATTTGCATGGCAGTTGACAGCAAGAAGGCCAAGTGTTCAAAGTTTAACTGTACAGCCTCACCTCCCTTGTCCTTTCCTGAAATATTACAAACCAAACCAGCACTTTGCACAAAACAGGAAGGAGAATCAGTGCAAAGAAATGAAGAAACGAATTAGGAGGGACTGGTATAGTTTAACTTTTGGACTATGTACAACTGAAAAATGATCACAGCCAAGGGACAGTCATACAAATTGGCCTTCTGTTATCTTTACAAAAATAAAGCAATTCCCAAAATGTTGTGGTCATTCCTGAGGCCATGTTAAAAGCCATTTGTTTCAACAGCAGCAGCCATTTGAGGACCAACAGCCCCTGTCTCCACGTTGATGAAAATGCCAAGTAGTGTCAAGACAGTAAAGAGACCCAACCCCAAGTTTACTTCCTAGAGCTATGACTACCGCCTAATAACCTTAAAAATAACTAAAACAATCACAGTATCTAACTGACAGCTGTAACTATGTTGTCAGAATTCAAATATTGTTGCATTTTCAAAGTTTCTAGTTTGTGCCCATAAAGACACTGATTTATATCAAAAAGCTGTCATTGCAACCCAGAAACCAAGCAAGTCCAAACCAAACTTTTTTCCATGGTCATAACCATTTTTACAAAAAGCCAGGTTTAGAAATTAGGACTTTTTCTACTTAACATTCTAGAGACAGCACAAATCCAACTTCAATCCTCTGCACCAATACTCTGCTTAAAATGTTCCCTCTTTTTCCCCAAATGTTTTTTATTAAAAACAAAAAATTACATTTAAAAAAGCCTCCAACCTATCAGTTTAGCCATAGGTTAGGCAAGCCTTACGGCTCTACCACGAGTAGTGTTGCTCCCGAGTATCATCAATAATGACCATGCTCCTCATGAATTCATAATTTTCTGATCTCTACCCTGAGAGACCACATCAATTCAGAGATGTAAGCAAATCACTGTTACAGGATCTGCAACAGTTGCCAATTCATACTTCCGTACAGGAAGAGAATAAGAAAACCTTTAAAAGACCACCTCTCTTTTAGTTCTACGTTATTAAAGCAAAGACCTGTTTAGTATAGTCAGTACAACTATCAACAAAACTTTGAAGGCAAAATTTACCAACTATTCATAGTCTGGTCACATTCAATGAAATGAAGTTTAAAAGAGCAAATCAACCAGAGCAGATCAGTTAGGATTGAGGCAGAGTTAACAAATTGGCAGTAGCAAATCTCATAGACACGGAATTCACAGGTATTAATGAAAAATACTGCTGCTCCTCTCATTCCTGAACATGGATGGAATCCATGGAATCCCAAGAGCAGGCTACTAAGACAAATTCTATTGCAGCTTTAAACATCAAAATATCTAAATGAAAAAACTAAGACTCTGAAAAATCTAATGCCAAATGTCATCACCTACCTTTATTTTTTTTTTTTTAAGGTAAGATATTTTAATATTTATTTATTTGACTGTTCCGGGTCTTAGATGCGGCAAGTAGGATCTAGTTCCCTGACCAGGGATCAAACCCGGGCCCCCTGAATTGGGAGCACAGAGTCTTAACCACTGGACCACCAAGAAGTCCCTACCTTTACTTTAAAATGCTCAAAGAAAATTAACCGACATTTAGGTGGATTAAAAATACTACCCCAAGAATAAAACATATCATGAGGGTAAGATAATGAGCAACCCCAAAAGAATTCACACAGTCCCTTGGAGCTACTTTAACACTCCTGCACATACTTATATCACAAAGAGTATTTGTTTCTGTATTCTCATTTCATTTACTGCTCAAGGCTGAAACAAGCACGCGCGCGCACACACACACACACACACACACACACACACGAGTACAGGGGCTAAAGCTTCACTGAAAAGAATTCAAAGGGGGGTGGGGGAGTAGCTCCAAAGCAGGGCATGCTCTAATGGAGGGGTGCATGGAATAAATGCATATTTTAACTTGGAAAGCCTGTTTCTTTAATACACAGACAACTTGAAACACGGCAAAATAATTATACTATACAATGATTACTCAATTTATGGAAAAATTAGAAAATGATTAAGCACCTTCTTGCTCCTAATTCCATGGACGAGAACAGAATTCTGCCTCTCTAACTCGACCGAAAACCAACAAATAAGCCAGGCAGGCTGCACTATTAAGGTTCAACCCAAGTACCCACAGATATGAATGCTTTAGCATCAACAGGCCCTTCCAAAACGCAGGCTGAATTTCCAACAAAGGAAACTATGAAGGAGCCAAACAGACTGAGTAGGGATTTTTACTTAAATTGAAAATAAAGTTCTGCTCCACAGGCCCACAATGTAGATGATCTTCGAGAGCCAACAGAGACTTACTACTGGACTATACTTGCCCTCTGGGCCTCAGTTTTCTGTCAGCTGGAATTTGAAACTGACTTAAAGTGATGTATTCAATAAAAACAGAAGGATTAAGTTCTTAAGAAATCTTTGCTTACACAAGTTAAACTGACTGCTGCTAAACTTGAGACTGATTGAGAGTGAGCTGTATCACTGACCCTCCTTTCTTTCCTCCTCAAACTGTTCTCCATGTTTACTCACTGCTCCTGCAGCTCAGTCCTGCCTAGGTTGCAGCTGCCCCACCTCAATGCTGCTGGCTCCCTGGTTAGGCCACGAGAACAACAGCCCGACGACGAGCTTTCTTCATCCACACAGGACTTCTCAGTAATGCAGCACAACACTATTTAAGTTTAGAATTCCCAAGATCAATCACCTTTTGTTCACGGAAGTCTTAATTTTTTGCCCAGACCTTATGGTCAAACACTTTTGAGATGTGTATCCCAATATCGATCCAGTGATGAAAATGAGGTAGCTGTTGAGACTGTTTACTTTCAAACCTGGTTTGGCAATCTCCAATTCAAATTTCCTATTACACTGGCTCTCAATTTTTGTTTCAAATCCACTCTTCAGTGTTCACAGCAGTCATTTGTTCCATGTAGTATCTCCGTTAAAAATAAGCATGATCAAAAGGACGGACAATAGAAACCTTTCCTTTGCTCCATCAGACACTTAGAGCAGGAAGGGGAAAGCTCAGGGAAAGCTCAAGCTCAATTCTGCAGGCTGTTTAATCCGTGTCCCTGAATGATGTGATGGGGGAGGGGGCGGGGGAAGCACCCTGGCACAGAACTAAACAAAGCTCTCAGTACCTTTTCTCTTTAAAGTCAGCAATGCTGATTTCATGATAGTGCCACCAAACAAGCTTTGTGATCCCATCCAGGGGAAAAGGCATAAGTGGCCTGTTCACATAATACATGCGTTATTAATAGGATCTCCTAGAAGGCTGTTAAATGCTAACAAACATGGAGAATATACACTTGGTGTCCAAGGAGGGGGAAAAGATCGGGAACTAGGGAGGGGTACATGAGGCACTCTCAGGCATGATTATCCTTAGGAAAAAAACTCGTCTTGCCATCTCAAAGCTACTACTTGAGTTCTGACAGGCAGCAATTATAGGCAGTGCTGCAATGACAGAGCATTTTTCAGATCTTTAAGCCGAGGACAACTAATTCTAGCTATTCCACTAGTTTCCTGAAACAACAGGACTATGATTTCATCAGGAATAGACTCTTGAAATGCAGACTGATAAAGAGTGGTTGGATTATAACAGCCCAAATCTCTGTGGTTTGCCCACTTCAGAGACTATCTTGAGACTAATACTTCTAGAGTGTGAGTGCCTCTATCCGCAACTTTTTTTTCCTATGCAACAACAGTCTTCAAAAACCTTAAAACATGTGCAACGCATTTCATGTAAATATTTCAGATTTCAAATAATCATTGAAACATATTTTTGGTATACCAAGACATGAATTAAAATATTTTTTAAAACCACATAATGAAAATAAGGACATTTTTAAGAAACCGTACGTATGTAAACAGTAAATTTCTTTAGACTTCACATACTGAGTATAAGATTTACCATAAAAAGATTACCTTTCTCTTATGCATCCCTTTAACCACAATCCAATACTTCTAATAATTTAATTAAACAGGAAAGTAATTAATTTAACCTGTACAGGGGAGCTCTAAACAAGAACATTTTAAGGTTTGTTAAGAATAACTGATTTACTGCACACCTGTAATTCTAAATTACACCACCAAAAATACACTGAAAGGGCTGAGCCAGGGCATTAATAGCAGTATGCCAAGGGAATATGAGAACCAGTTTGGAAGTATCCGAATAAACCACCAGGCTGGCTCCACACTTAATACAGTGCAAAATAGGAAATTGAGGTGAACTGCTTCTACATCCAGAAACGTCATGGCTGCTGCTGCTACCAGCTTTAAGGCTTCCAAAACTGAATTACTGAATGGTAAAGCAGTAAAAATGTCACCTACTTTATCCATCATGTCCCAAAACTGGTTCACACACTCCTAAAAATGGAAAAATAATTTGGCCTGCAATCTCTTACAAAATTCTAACAATTGCATTTTCAAAGCCACATTCCTGGTTCTTGGAACTACTATACCTTATTATCAATGGAAGTATCAATTCAGCGGTTCAACCAAATCACGAGAACACAAATTTGGGGGTTATTCCAAAAACTAATTCGAATGAGACCCAACTGTACTGTAACAGAAATTCTAAGCTTTATTGAAGCAGCAGTCCCAAAAACCAAGAACACTGCATCTGGGATGCCACATGACACGCCCTTCAGACAAAAAGAAGAAACTTCACTCTTGCCCTAGGAGCATTGGCAGGAATGATTTGGCTGATCAAGGCAGGAAAACAAATCTCACACCAAAACGTTTTTCCATCCATGTTACCTGGAGAAATACTACATGGGAGCAGCCTACATGACTGTACAGAGGTTCATGGTGCCTAGTGCTTCTGGCATGTCATGGTTGAATTAAGTGATGGGACAATGATGGCAGTGGGCCATTCATAATTTCAAAACCCAATGCTGGGAGCACCAGTACACATACCAAAATGGCCTATCCAAGTGGCATCTGTCACTGAAATGTTAATCATTTGACAAATCAAGCTCAAATCTCTTTTCATTATGAATGCTCCAGAAAAACCAGTACCTTTCAGTCCTTCAAAAAGACTCCATTTAAGAATAATTTGATTCTAGGTTTCCCTTGGGATAGGGGTGAGGGGAGACCTCAACGCATTACACAAATGGTTCTCTATCAATAATTTTGTTTAAACCTGGGCTGAGCAATCTCTTTAGCCCTGTGTGCCACCAGCAGGGCCCAGAATCAGGAAAAGAAGACAAAAGAATCAGAACAAGAGTATGAAAAGAAAGACACACGTGGTGTGCACGGGGGTGGGGGTGGGAATAGGGGGTGGGTAAAGCGGAGGACCATGGGGGCAACCAACCCCCTAGGACCTCCTGGTGGCAGCAGAGCTTCATTCAGTTGCTTCCTCTGCCCTAGGCCAGACTTTAACACCAGGGCTGTGACCAATGTGTGCCTAAAGGCACCAAATTACACAGCAGATGCTTTATTTTGAGCTATCCAATTGCCAATCTACTCTGTGTTTTCCTCCCCAGGGTGGGGAAGCTTAACAGTTTAAATACAAGCTACGGTTTTATAATTTAGGATCTGAGCAGCACAAGTTCCAGCTACCAACTTTTGATCCCAGGAAGACAGCCACAAAATTTAAACAAACTACCTTCCCGCCAGAACTTTAAAACAAAAAGGAAAAAGAAAAAATTTCTCCCACCTCATATGAAGAATTCAAAAAATTTCCTTAACACAAAGAGGCTCCCCTCAAGCTTAATCAAAGCCCTATTAACCATATTAAGCCAGTAAAATCATTCATAGGCCAAGGGATCAAACAAACAACCTGTTTGACACACAAGTGCATGACCACAAAAAGTAAAAATAAAAAAGTAGGATGGGGGGGCTTCACTCTCAAGCCTGGAGAGAACACATGCTCTACCCAGAACAGCTTCACTGACAAAAAAATAACCAAGGAATTATCCACAGAGAAGATGACACACCAACCTTCTGACCCTACTCAACCACCAGTACCATTACCTTTTTCTTTAACCAGGTCTTTAAGTGACTGCCATTTCACATCAAAAGGTATGTTTGTAATGAAGGCTCTGTATCTTTTAGTTGGATTGGCATACGGCTCAAAGCGATTGCCTCCTCTTTTTATGTTTTTCTCCTTCCTCTTCTCATTCTGAGCTGGTCGTTCTCCTTCACTGAATTCAAAAGAGAGGGGGAAAAAAAGTCCATATGTTAGCACAATACTAAAGACAATATTTGATTTTCCAGGTTTACAATCCCACACAAAGTTACATGTAACACAAGACTAATATTGATTCTGATTTGAAACAAACTAAAGTGGTCCATACAGCAGAATATTGCAGTAGTACGCTCCTTAAAACCCACCTATCAAAAAAAATCATTCCCAAGACAAATGTGCTTTCCTAGGCCTTCACACACTCCTGTGGGGCTCTAACAGAGGTGGGGGAGACAGGCCAACTCCCTGCCCAAGGTGCTTTAACGCCAAGACAGAAACAGGAAAAGAGAAAGAAGATTTATAACATTTCATGGAACAGAAATGAGGTGGTACACATAGGTCCAACCAATCTTAGCTTTACAAATAAAAGTGTCTTTCATTGTGGGCGGAAAAAAATTGGACTCAGGTACTTGTACACCATTAGCAGCATTATTCACAATAGCAAAAAGTGAAAACAACCCAAGTGTCCACCAACAGATGAATGAAATAAACTAAATGTGGTAGATCCATACAATGGAATATTACTTATTCAGCCATAAAAAAAGAATGAAGTGCTGATACATGCTTCAACACAGATAAACTTTGAAAACATTATGCTAAGTGAAATAAGCCAGACATAGAGACAAAAGGAATAGAGGTTACCAAGGACTGGGGAGAGGTGGGAATGGCGAGTTACTGTTTAATGGCTAGAGTTTCTGTTTGGGATGATAAAAGAAAAAAGTTCTGGAAATGGCGAGTGGCTATTGGCATAGTGTACAACACTGTACCTAATGCCACTAAACTGTACACGTAATCATTTTAGAATGGCAAAATTTACATATATTTTACCACAATTTTTAAAAACAAAATTTTTAAGGGAAAGAAACCATTCTCTACTCAACCCTATTACTTTGAGGCTAGGGAAACTGAAGTCTGAGCAACGCTGGTAGGTAAAAGACAGCACGCAAACAATTCCACCTTTGGCAAAGAAGGGTGGATTCGTTTTTCTGACATGGCCTTTCCTGTAATCCTCTTTACCTTTGTGTGTTAGGTGCTTCCATAGAGTTAACATTTCTAAGCTCTACAGGTATGAATCTGGCTTAACAGTGGGCAGGAAAAGTTTCACAAGAAACGCAGGCTCCCAAAGCACAGAACAAGACAGGCTGGAAGCCCAGTCCATAGCCCAGGAACCGGACAGGGTGTGCACAGCAGGGCAAGGCCCTGTGCCGGCTGCGTGTGGCTGTTCCGAGCCCCCTTTGACCATAGGCAGACACCTGTGAGAGCTGACCAGGAACAACTGGGGAGGCAGCAGCCACAGAAGTCCTCTCAGGGCACTAAGTCCAGCACTTTCTGCTTCCCAAGCCCTGTGCTTTCCACCAGTGAGAATCAAGGGACTCCCAAACTACAGATTCTAGCAGAGACTTTGTGATCCACAACAAAAATGGAAAGAAAACAAAAAGTCAAGATTACAGCATTGATGATTTATAAGACCACCTTCTTTAACGTAAAGGGTTGATCTTTATTCTAAGATATGTCTTCCCTGTGTGGGGGAGGGGTATTGTTCAAACATCAATGGTAGCTGGAGGATTTTCAGTGTACTTGGAAAAATTTAAGTCAGCAACCTTTTGTAGTCCCCAAAGTATTTTTTTCTACGGGTCCCTCACATCCAAACACAGCCGTGCCAAGTGGTAACCCAGTGAAGTTATCACCCTAGGCAAAACTAAGGAAAGCAACTTCCTCTATGATCTGAACTATACCAACATGCAATAAACAGACCTTCACATGGGCCGGCAGATGGGGGAGGGGGAGTAGGGCCACACCAATCCCCAGATTCCTAGAATTCTTCACTCTGTCTACCCAGGCTCACAACAGACCCTCCTCAGGCTGACTGCACACCGCAAGCACAGTCCACCCATCCACTCCATATGAAAGCCCTGCACCCGTCTGCCAGACAGAGCATGCATCTCACCCTCCCTACATAAGGAGGAAGTGTGTTACAACAATTCATAAAATGTAGATCAACCTACATTTCATGGGCCTACAGAGGGCCTGTGGGTAGGAATATATTTTAGAATTGGTTTCTTTTGAAACCCAAATATTCTACAATCTACATTAAAAAACATTATTCTGACACAGGGTTCATGACACAGTAATGCTTCCAGCCTGGGTTTTCAAACACTGCCCAGCTCACCTTATTAGTTATAAAATGTATAAATAACGAATTACAAGACATAGTAGGTAACAAAGTGTCTAGGCCATATTCTGCCATGCATCATTACTGCTAAGAATAAACTACCCAATCTAACCCCAGAAGCTGGGGATTTCGTTTGGGGTTAATCCACCTCACATGGCTCATCATCAAGAAAGCAGCTCAAATGGGTTATGGCCAAGGTGTGAGCAAAGCACTACTACACCCAAGTCTTTCTCTGGCTAATCATTTCCTCTCTCTGAGAAGTTTCCTCCTATCTCATCACTTCCAGTTTCTTAAAAAATTGACCTTTTTGTAACTCTAATAATCACCATCAACTCTATTCTTGACAGAATTGTAGAAAACCACCCTCAAAGAAACCTCACGTGACGCATGTTCAAGTATAGATGATGTGACAGTTTAAGAAAAGCCCATTTATTAAATGTTTAATTCAATTTTCTCACTTACCTTCGGGATAAAATTAGGGGAATATGCTTCTAGCCCTAAAATACATATAACACTTAACTGTGAAAACCTTTTAGAAGCACATTTTTATAGGTAGATTATAATTTAGCTACACTGATGAAATAAACTGCTTTATCCTAAATACCCCAAATTTAGATTATAGAATCTTAAATGTTAAAACACACCTACCATACATTATCCACAACTAGATACTTACCCAGAAGAAAATATATCCATACAAAAATTTAGACCCGAATGCTCATAGCAACATTACTTGTAATATCCCAAAAGGAAATCTAAATGTCTACTAACAGGTAAATGAATAAACAAACTATAGTATATCCGTACACTGAAATACTATTCAGCAAAAAGTAATGAACTACACACAACGTGGATGAATCTCAAAATACTTACACTCGAAATCAGACAAAAGAGGAGTACATATGGTAATATTTCATCATATACAACTATATTTGAGAAAATCTAATCTGGCAAACTAATCTATAGTGGGTTTTCTCAACCTCAACACTACTGATATTTGGGGGCCAGATAATCCTTTTGTTGTGGGAGGCTGCCCTGTACACTGTAGGATGTTCAGCAGCATCCCTGACCTCTACCCCAGAGAGGCCAGTAGCAGCCCCATTCCTCAGACTTGAAAATGAAGACCAAAAGTATCTCCAAGACACTTCCAAACGTCCCCTGAAGGGAAAGAAGAAATCACCCCACTGAGAACCACTGATGCATACTAATGGCCTGGGGGTGGGGAAAAAAAGGACTCAGAGGATTACAAAGGGGGAGCAAAGGGGGTTATGGTTGTATTTATTATCTTGATTCAGTGAGGGTATCAAATCGTACACTTCCAACTTATTCAGTTTATTGTGCCAATCATACTTTTTTTTTTTTTTTTTTCAGTACTCAGGCCTCTCCCGTTGCAGAGCACAGGCTCCAGACGTGCAGGCTCAGCGGCCATGGCTCACGGGCCCAGCCGCTCCGCGGCATGTGGAATATTCCCAGACCAGGGCACGAACCTGTGTCCCCTGCATCGGCAGGCGGACTCTCAACCACTGCGCCACCAGGGAAGCCCCAATTATACACTTTTTAAGTTTCCACTAGTTTCTTAAATTTCAAACCTGACCCCAATATAACTTGACTTTTAACTCCTATATAAAGTAACAAATTTGTCATCTTTCAAAGAAACTGAAGCTACCTAAGCAAGCTAAATGCCTTACCAATATTCTCCTTGCTAAGTGGCTCCCAATTCCCAATGAACACCCCATCTGATTCTGGCACCCAATCATCTACCTGAAGTTCTAAATAGACCCAATATGTTAAAAAACTTTTTCTGACATTCTATCAACCTAATTCATGATACATCAATAAAGATAAGGCCAAAGTATCTGCAAGAACCTCTCAAATCATTAAAATAGATTAAGTATGTTTAATATGGCTTTGGAATTGTTTCACTGACTGCGTTCTTTGAAAATTGATAATTTAACATGTCACTGCTCCACCATACTAGAATTATACTGTACATAAAGATCACAAGTAAAAAGATTGAGTGCCTGCCTACTTCACCAAGGGCTGCCACATTCACCATGTAAAACAGTGAATCCCTACCCTCCCTTACGCCTCCATGGCATTCCCTCTCACATATAATACTCTCATTATTCTCACAGTTTTTCAATCAAGTGTAGTTTGAAACGGCAACCCCGATACCTTGAAATCCTGACCACATCTCCTGAGGGAAAAGACTCCCCCACCCCCCATATTCCCTTGAGAACCATCCCTTATGTAAAATGACTCTTCACAGAAACCCTTTCAATCCTGAGTTTCCCCTAATGCATTTAAGATGTGGAGAGCACTATTCACAGCACTATTCTAGCTCCAGGTCCACCTCTTCACTACCCACGTGACTTAAGCGCTTTCCGTCTCTGGTTCTTTACCAGCAAAACCAGCATAACCTGTATCCATGTAGCTCACAGGGATGTCTTGAGAATCAACAATCAGCCTAACAAAAAGCAGGTTGGTAAATGTTAAGCACAATACCTAAGGGAGCAGTACTACGGGTGACTAAGAGGTAGGGTTATCTAGGTCTGAACCCCAATGTCACCAACTCTTTGTCAGGCCTCAGTTCCTTCATCTGTGCAAGGAGGTTACTTATCCACCCTGACAAGTTTAAAGGAGAGACTTGGCACACTAACTGTGGCAATGATATATTTTTGTACCAAAAATTTTCTGGAGAATGATTCACTCCTTGCCTTCTACCATTGCACATACTGATTAAGCTTTAAAATAAGCTCACTGGGGCCGTGGCTGAGGAAACCTAGGCACTGTACTCATTACAGACTACCAAAGGAGCAATTCAGCTTTCACCTCTATGACTGCAAAACATGGTAATGGGAGAGACCATCTGCAAACTCCTAAATGAAACAAGCAACCTAATCTTTGCAGACTAGCATCTCCCTGCCTAGCCATGAATAAAATCAAAGAGCAAAGTGAAAGCAAAGAGCTGGCAGCATGCATTCAAACAACCTACAGCCCCTATTCTAATCTTGAGCTCACAATCAAATGTGCCTCAAAATTATTATCAAGTATACCATCACTTTTTAAAGTACAGCAAACACTCAAATCATTGCAAAGCACGGAGAATCTGGTTAAAAAAAAAACACTTTAAATAACTGTGTTCAGTGAGAGGTTACCAGGGTGGTGTGTGGAAGCAGCAAAGGACCTGGAGTCAAGATGGCCTCCCCCAGATTCTTTGGGTCAATTTCATTAACCTGGGTCTTCTCAATTGTTTAAAAAAAAAAAAAAAAAAAAGTTTTTCTTGACTGTAAAACAGTGTCAACACTAACATTACATCCCCAGGAATTTATACTAAATACAAAGTTTCATTTTTAAAATAGCCTCTCTCTCAGTTTTCTGATTCAGCCACAAGGTTACTCTGAAAGTGGAGTAGGTTAAGTCACTGATTTTAAATGGACAGTGCAAGCTTTATTTTTAAAAAATAAAATTTTAAATTAAAAAAAAAATCAAACCTAAGCCTACATAGTCCTCTAAAATGAACGCTTTTACCTCCTGATTAATATACTCTAACTCTGAATCTTGATTATTTTTTTTAACTTCAGAATTTATTTTTTTAATTTATTTTTTTTTATTCATTTATTTTTGGCTGCATTAGGTCTTGCTGCTGCATGCAAGCTTTTCTAGTTGTGGTGAGCGCGCTTCTCACTGTGGAGGCTTCTCTTGTTGCAGAGCACGGGTTCTAGGCACGCGGGCTTCAGTAGCAGTGGCAGCTTGCAGGCTCTAGAGTGCAGGCTCAGTAGCTGTGGTGCACGGGCTTAATTGCTCCACGGCATGTGGGATCTTCCCAGACCAGGGATTGAACCCGTGTCCTCTGCACTGGCAGGCGGCTTCTTAACCACTGCACCACCAGGGAAGTCCCTTGACTGTCTTTAGATGGAACAGATTTCTCATCAAAATAAAACAAATCCTCCTCTTATACCCAGAAGAAAAGGAACTGCAAAACAAGCTGTCCCATCTGGGGTCCTCATCAAGCTTGCTATCTCACTGCCTTTTTGGTTTACAGCACACTCCACTCCTGGTGGAGACAAAGGTAAGAAGAATCCAGTCTCACTCATTTCCCATCCCTCAAAGGCTTTCAAGATAAAAATCTAAATTCCTTCGTCTGGAATTCATTGCCCACCAGCTGGCCCCCAGTGCTCCAGCAGTTTGGGTTCTATATAAATACATATCAAATATATAAATATATAAAAATCCCTAGTCTTTGGACACTCTCCTGTGCCTCTCTCCATCATCTTTCATCCTCCTCCCCCTAGAGGAACACCTCTTAACTGCCCCCAGCTGGTTAGGTTGGGGGGAGGGGAGCCCCTCCATGCTCCCTACCTAGTAACTCCTTTTACTAATACCACAGAACAATAACTTTACTACAAAAATATTCCTTGGCCTTCCCTGTGGGGGTAGGGGGGCTGTTTTCTAAAGAACTCTGCTTTAAAAACTCTGTGATGCAAAAAAAACACAACGAACACTAACTTTTCCAATGGCCCTCCCAAACAGATCTAAGTGTTCGTAACTTTCTAAAATAGTCTCTACTAAGCAGTCCTAGACTTTGAGGTTCTTTCCAACAAGGGCTCTTTTAGCTCTGAAACCTTCAGATTCTTTCTAATAGCCCATGTGTTAACGTTCGTCACAAAATGACTATTTGGAAATGGACAGTGGAAAATGGGAAATTTGAAAAATGTACCCCAGATGCTATAATCTATAACTAATAACTTCTCACCTAGCACGATTCTAGCAGCACTCCATCCTGTGATAAAGAAATAAAGGAAATAGGTAATGAAAAAAGTTTAAATGAACACATCCCTTTCCAGAGTTTTCAATAATAAAGGGTTGGGAATACTTCTAAGATGCCTTTCTCTTGATTTCCAAGGACCAGTAACCACGGTATTTTGTTCCTCCCCACCTAAGGAGAGAAAGTTCAACAACATAGCTAGTATTTAGTGAGTGTTCATTAACAAAGCGTTTTAACTACATTCACTTTTAATCCCCACGAACTCCAATTAAAAATTTGTGGGAAGGCAAATTCATAGGAGACAGAACGTATAACACAGGTAACCAGGAGAGGGGGAGAAGAGGAAGTTACTGTTTAATTGGCATGATGAAAAAGTTCTGGATGTGGATACTGGTGATGGCTGCACAACACCGCAAATGCAGTTGACGCCACAGAATCGTACACTTAAAAATGGCTAAAACTGTAAATTTCACCTTACGTATGTTACCACAATTTTAAAAAAACGTATGTGGCAAATCAAATGTGTGCCCAGCCTTCCCCTGTCCTCCCCCCGACAGCTGCCGGGAGGAGGCAAAACGTCTCTCCATCTTTCAGGCGCCTGTAATCAGAATGAATGGGGTTCAAGGGGACATAAGGTGATGCTTTAAAGCTTTATGGAAACTTTAAAAACCGAGGACCCGAGACAGACCTCTAACCAGGACTGAAAGGGTGACGGAGTTTGGAAATGGGTGAACCCGCCTGATGATGGAAAAATCTTCCCCTGGAACACGGAAGAGAATGTTTCCTTTTTTTTTTCCCCCTATAGTTTGTTTCTACGGCTGAACATTGTGCAGCAGGTCCGATCTCTCCACAAATACCTACTGCGCACCTGGGGAGGAGGTAAGGGACTTGAGCCGTGGCCAGAGCGTGGAGCGAGGGGCGGTTCCGACAGAGGCACTTATCGCGGGGACGGGGGAGGGGGAGCTGGAAAGGAGAGGAACGGCGCGCGCCGGGGGGCGGGGGGGGGAGGAGGCTCCCGGAGCCGGCCTCGCGGTCCTTCCCGATACCCACCCGCCTCTGCTACCGTTTACCCGGACCGACAACGGGCGAGATCCTGCGTGCGCAATCCCTCCCCTCCCCCCACTTTACCGATCGGGAAACTGAGGCCCCGGGCCATTGCGGAGAGACGTGAAACCACGCGCCCAACCAAGGTCACCCGACAGGCGAGCGGGTCGCGGACTCCGGGGCTCATCGGCTCCGTGGCCCGCGCGCCATTATCCCCGCGCGCAGAGGCCCAGCCTGAGGCCTTTGCGTCGGGGTCGGGGTCGGACCCGGCCTGGAGGGACCGGGGGAGTTGAGGCCCGAGACCTGGGAAGAAGGAGCTGTCCTAGAGGCGCTCCCGGGGCCGCCCGGCTTCATCCCTCACCGCCTGGGCGGCCCCCACCCTCGGCAGACCCTGAGGGGAAAGCCCGGCCGAGGCCGCGCCGGTGGGAAGCCGCCAAGACCTAACAGAGCCGCCGCCGGCCGCCGCAGAAGTGCCCGGCCAGGGACAAGGAGCCGTGGAGTACTCACCCTTTCGGGCCCGGAGCTCCGTTGCCACTCGGCACGCCGGGCGCGCCGCTCTCCTCCTCCATTTTGGGCTCCGTCGCCGCCACCTCGGCTGCCGCTTCGACCCCTGCCGCCATTTTCTCCGCGTCTGGGCTTTGTGTGAGCGAGCGGGATGCGCGGCGCTGCGCCTGCGTGCTCACGTGATCCAGCTCGACCAGTAACGTCTGCTCGCGCCGCGGCGGCCTCCCGCCTCCTTCCCTCCAACCCCGGGCCACGCCCCTGTTCCGGGCCACGCCCCCGCCGCGCGCAGGCGCGCATCGTCAGCTGTTACTAATTCATTCTCGCAACTAACTTGCGTTTGGCGCCTACTGGATACTCCATCCGCTCTGCAGGTCTGGTAGAGGCACCATCTCTCCACCCCCTCACACGTGGACCTCGTCACTCCCAGCTTTCTGTAATCACAGCTAGGGCAGAAGGGCAGCGAAAGTTCTGTTTACTAGGCTAGAAAGGAGTTAGGCAGGCAAGGGTAGGACACTGAAAGACCAGGCCGTAGGACAAATGTGTAAAATGCTCTCTCTCTAAGCAAGTTTCGTCCTGCACCAAGAATATCTGGGCTCTATCCGACCTGTCTCCCCACCACTCTGAGAAGTCCTGGGCGCAGAGCCCATGGCCTAGGTCTCTCTCACTAACAGCCGTCAACAACCAGACGCCTAGCTGGAGACTTTGAATGTGCTTATGAATGTTTCTTGAGGGAATGAACAAGCAAGAAGCCAAACATGGTGATAGAAATCACACGATGGAGGCTCCTTCCTGCCTGACCGTGGGTCCCTCTGCCCTGAGAGCTTGGCCCTGTCCACAAATGGGTTTTCAGGGCTGTTACAGGACCATGTCCTGGGACAGCCACAGTGGCCTGGGAAGAGGCCAGAGCCCCCAGCATTCAGAGGTCTCAGGCTCCCTTACCCAGCAGCCACCCCTGGTCTCTGTTGTCTCTGGTACTTTGAAATAAATGCTTCACTGGATCTTGAAGAAGTTCCCATCTAACCACCAAACTCTAAGCTCACAATGGGAAAAATGGGTTTTTTTCCCATCTCACAAAATAACTACATTTCATCAGGCTCTGAGGAACTATCTCACCTGCCACACCTTCCTCCAAATTAAATACTTAATCCAGCCAGGCTAAGAACTCCAGGCCTGGAGAATAAGTCCAATAGCCCAGGCTAAGGCAGAGGATAGGCCCCACCCTCTCTTTCCAGCTCCCATTCCCAAGAACTTCCCAGACTCCCCTGTCTCAGAACTCCTTTCTCTTGCCCATCTGCAAGCCCCTCCTCTCATCTCCACCCACCCACCCCGCCCCCTCCCCCCGGAAATCTCTGATCTACTAAAATCCCCTGTGCACACCAACCCTCTTCACATGGTCCCACTGGAATCTATCTCAGTTTCCTTTCCTCCCCGTTAGACCTCTCTCTCTCTCTCTCTCTTTTTTTTTTTGGCCTGGACAGCCAGGGAAGTTCCCCCCTCCCCCTTAGATCTCTCTAGACCAGAGGGGCCCCTGGACCAGAAGAAGCCTCATGAATCTCTGAATTCCCTCGCCCAACAGGGCTCAGAAATGGCGGAAGAGGCCACAGCAGTCTGTCAGAATCATGGAGAGGAGGCCGAATACAAAGCAGCGGGGACAAGAAGGCACCTTTTCTCTGATCCCTTCTCCGGCAGTGGGTGTGACTGGAGATGAGCCACAAGCCAAGCCCAGGCTGAGGAGACAAACTTTCTACTAGGCTGTGCTCCTCTATAGGCTGGTTGATTTAATCCAACACTGCCCAGATTCCTGGGTTTAGCCATTGCCTGCACTATTAATTCCTTCACTCTTTCCTGTAACTGACACTTTATTTTCTTTAAAGGAAGGATGTTTTGGGAATTCGCTGACGGTCTGGTGGTTAGGATTCTGCCCTATCACTGCCAAGGCCTGGGTTCGATCCCTAGTTGGGGAACTAAGATCCTGCAAGCCTCCCAGTACAGTCAAAGAAAAAAAGGATGTTAAAATGTTGCTTTACCTCACAGCCCACATTGAAACCCTACTATAAATAGCTTATTGTAAAAAATAAATAAGAGAATGATGCTGTTAAAGTGTAAATTCAGTCATACGCTCTGTCAAAGGATCTGAGTCTAAGACTTGCTCTCTCTCTGCTAGGGTTAAGGGTCATGAAAGTCAGCCTAGCACCAAACTACAACTCAGGACTTCCCTGGCGGTCCAGTGGTTAAGACTCTGTGCTTCCAATGCAGGGGGTGAGGGTTCGATCCCTGGTTGAGGAGTTAAGACCTCACATGCTGCATGATGTGGCCAAAAAAAAAAAAGTACTGGGCCCTGACAGGGTGACCCTCGGTAAGTGTGGACATTACTTGTGAGTGAGTGTAAAGGGCCCAGCGGGGTATCTGACCCACGGGAGACACACAGGAAGTAGACACTATTCTTATGTATATTTATTTTAAATCATTTAATACATAGCCTTGCTACCTGCTCTTCACTTGAAAACTCGCACTTTGCTTCTAGCCCTGTGATCCCTCAAAGCAGCTGAGAGCATTGGTTGTTGCTGCTGTTACCTCTGTGTGGTCCTGACTCCCCTCGGTCCCCGTGCCCTCACTTTGAGGCCTCAGAAACGTGACTGACAGGTCCGTTTTGTCCAGCAAGGGCTCCTTTTATTCATTGGGGGTGGGGTGGGGTAGGGGGGTGGGTTTTGAAACACGGTGCAACTTTATAAAGTTGAGGGTGCCGGGAATGTGAGCCTGCCAGGTGCAGAAAAGTGCAAGAAGCTTGCGGAACCTCCCAGCTCCATGGGTGCCCGCGACTCGCCTCTGGCCATGGCTGCTGGCCCAGGAGGGGCCAGGTAGACCTCAGAATGAGATCAGGGTGCCTGCTCCATCCGAAGCTCGGGACCACGTCCGTCTGTTCTCCTCGTGTGTAAGAGTGTGCAAAACGATCTGAGAATAGCTTCACACGGGAATCACGGAATCAGCTCCACTTTGGCATCTCTTGGCCTAAGAAGCATTCCAGCTGTGCGGAAGTGTCGGGCAGTTTCTGTCCTTCCAAACACCAGGGCATCGCCAGCTGCCTCTGGCCCTGCCAGCCCGGCCTTCACACAGGCGTCTCCTCTGCCACCTTCTTCAGGAGCCCAGCTGCCAGAGAGGAGTGCTGGGTGCCTTCGGGGCCATCGGTGGCCCGGATCTTCAGGCGCACTTTCTGGTTGGTCCTTCTCCACTCGGAGTACAGCTGGCAATGGTAGCGGAATGAGACCTGCAGGGCAGGGTGGAGATGAGTGGGAGGGCCAGCCTCTGGCCATCCAGCCTCTACCCCCAAGAGAGGAAAAGCGGGCCCCTGAAGCATCTGCCTCGACCTAACCAGGACCAGGCTCCTGCTTGCAGAAGCAGGGGCAGCATCCAGGCATTTCTCACACAGACAGTGCACACACACCCATTCCCTCACCTGGGGAACCTCCCCACCAGCACTGAGGGCCCTGCAAAGGTGAGAGAGTCTGTGTGTGTGTGTGTGTGGAAGGGGGGGGGGGTCCCCTTCTGTCTCTCAGAGGGTGGCAGTGAAGTGATAAAGCCTCTTGGAAGGGGCCAAACGTCAATGGATCATAACTGCCAAAATGTGGAAGCAACTAAGATGTCCTTCAGTGGGTAAGTGGATAAATAAACTGTGGGACATCCAGACGATGGAATGTTATTTGGCACCAAAACGAAATGAGCTATCAAGTCATGAAAAGACATGGAGGAAGCTTAAATGCATATGACTAAGGGAAAGAAGCAGATCTGAAAAGGCTACAGGGAATTCCCTGGCGGTCCAGTGGTTAGGACTCGGTGCTTTCACTGAAAAGGCTATAGACTGCATGATTCCAACTATAGGACATTCTGGAAAAGGCAAAACTATGGAGACAGTAAGAGAAGCAGTGGTTAGCAGGGCTTGGGGGAGGGAGAGATGAACCGGAGGATCACAGAGGGGTTTTAGGGCAGTGAAAATACTCTGTATGACACTCTAATGGTGGATACATGTCATTATACATTTGTCTAAACCCACAAATTGTTCAACACCAAGAGTGAACCCCTAATGTAAACTATGGGCTGGGGGTGATGATGTGTCAGTGTTGGTTCATCGACTGTGATAAATGCACTGCTCTGGTGCCCTGCTGATCGTGGAGGAGGCTCTGCAGGTGCGGGGGAGGATTTTGGAGAACTCTGTACTTTATGCTCCATTTTGCTGTTTAACCTCAAACTGCTCTAATGAGTCAAATCTATTAAAAAAAAAAAACTTTTTTTTTCCAATAAATGTCAATGGTTCATACTCTTTAACCAAGCCAGTTCCAAGAAACATTTGCACAGGTGGCACCCAAAACACAGTTTATAACGGCAAAAAAAAAGAAGGGAAACAAAAAAACAAACCAACAAAAAAAAAACATTGGAAATGATCCCAGTGTCCATCAAAAGGGATTAGTTAAAAAAATACAGCATGCCCATACAATCAAGGATTGTTGGGTGGCTGCCTTTTTTTTTTTTTAAAGGACATTAGCAAAGTGAAAACAAGCAGACTGCAAAGCAGGACCTATGATTTCATCCTACTTGTATTAAAAAACCTGCTTGGGGCTTCCCTGGTGGCGCAGTGGTTGAGAGTCCGCCTGCCAATGCAGGGGACACGGGTTCGTGCCCTGGTCCGGGAGGATCCCGCATGCCGCGGAGTGGCTGGGCCTGTGAGCCATGGCCGCTGAGCCTGCGCGTCCGGAGCCTGTGCTCAGCAACGGGAGAGGCCACAACAGTGAGAGGCCCGCTACCACAAAAAAAAAAAAAACCTGCTTGGTGGATGTGCTGGGAAACAATTCTTGAGGAGGGAGTGCCCCACAGCTGGAGGCCAGTGGTTCTGTCTGAGGGGCCAGACTCTGGGGACCTTTCCTCTCTGAGTGAGGGTTCACATGCCTGCCAGAAGCCGGGGACAACACCCCACTACACTCCCTCTCTCTCAACCCCAGTCGTTTTCTCTCTCAGCACCCACCCCACCCCCGTGTGGGGCATCGATCTTAGTTCCCGGACCATGGATCAACCCATGCCCCCTGCAGTGCAAGCGTGGAGTCTTAACCACTGGACCGCCAGGGAAGTCCCTTCTCTGTCTCTTGATGGTCCTCTCTCTCTGTCTCTCTTTCTCCTACTCTTTCTTCCGCAGCCTTTTGGTGTCCCTCTGCCTCTCCCCCCCAACCCCCTCACCCGCCCTCCACCGCCAGTACAGTCTTGGTGGAGCTCGTGGCTGGCAGGGCCTGCACTCAGCAGAGGTGATCACGTGCCCTTGTATCCTTGGGGCAGAAGGTTCACGCCTGGCTCCCTGGACCTTGGACCAGCTTGGAATCTGGAGCTCTATGAGATGCTGGGAATTGCTTCCACCCGAGGGCCAGCCACAAACCGAGGCAGGCAGGGCGCCCCCTACCCCCTCCAAGCCACTGACCAAACCCCGGGCCTGACTGCTGGCAGATGCCTGCTCTGTGGCAGGCAGCCACTCACCAGCGTCCAGAGGACGTAGATGGTAAAGAGAGCAATGGTGAGGGCGATGAGCCCCACCGCCTCCAGCCGGCTATGGAGCCTGAGGTGGTCCTGGGCCCCACGCAGGCACAGCCAGCCTGAGATCGCGGCCAGAGGCGTGATGAACAGGAAGCACACCATGTCGCAGCACAGTGTCCTCTTCTCTGTCCGAGGCCCTGGGTCCTTCAGCCACTGCGGGGAAGAAGGGAGGGGGAGCCGCTGAGAGAGACCGTCATGCACCGCCCTCCCTCGAGCCTCTGCGGGGGGATGGGGTGCAGGACCGCCAGGCCCTCCGCCCCTTCTGCTGATGCCCATCTTCATCACTGGGCCCTGCAGGACCAGCCTCCTGCCTGGCACCTCCCTGCGTTCATTCCTTCTTTCAAATATTTATGGAGACGATGACGATGACAGGCCAGGCCCGGATAGGTGCGGGGCACTTCTGCCCCTGTTTTTTGTTTTTTGGTTCTTTGGTTTTTTTGGCCGTGCAGGGGATCAGACGCATGCCCCCTGCAGTGGAAGCACAGAGTCTTAACCACTGGACCGCCAGGGAAGTCCCATGACCTTGTTTTATAGATGGGGGAAACTGAGGGCACAGAGAGGCTGACCCATTTGTGCAAACTCATATGGCTAGTCGTCCACAAAGCCAGGACTGGAGCCCAGGAAGTCTTATCCCAGGACCTGTGCGTCTTGGCCTCTATGCTACACTGCCTGCCACAGTTGATGGCAGGAAAAAGTCCCTGCCCATAGCTCCCATGCTAGTCGGGGGAGGCATGAAACAGGGTGAATGATCCGGATGGGGAAGGCTATGCCGAGGAGGTGACACCACAGAGAACCAAATGAGCAGAAGGGGCCTGGTGAAGAATTGAGGGGACAGCGCTCGAGGCTGCAGAAAGAGCATGTGCAAAGGCACTGGGGTGGGAGCGTGTGGGGGGGAGCGGTGCAGGCAGGCTGGCTCTCCCTCCAACTGTTCTCCTAAGAGCCCAATGTCCCGGGTGGGCCAGGGGCATTTCCAGGAGCCCACACCTCGGCACAGTGACATCCCCCTGCAGCTCTCAGCTGCCCCATGCCAAGCCAAGCTGGGCAGAGAGGAGCCTGGAGGGCACCCGGGCAACCAGCAATGCTCTGGAAAGCCATGTGGCTCCCGTCATGCCTGGGAATATCCCATCTCAACCCCCACCCAGCACACTCAGGCTACAGTCTAAGCTCCCAGGCTTGGCCCACAAAGCCCCCCGGCAAGGCCACTACCCCTCCTTCTGGGCCACTCTCCTCCTCCTTTAACTAGCTCCACTCCAGCCACGTGGGCTTTGTCAAAAACACCAAGCTTCTCCTGGCCTCAGAGCCTTTGCACTTGCTGTGCCCTCTGCCAGGACTGCCCTTCCTCAGGTTGGGCACTCCCTTCTCATTCCTCAGGTCTAAGCCTTAGGGTCACCTGAAGTGATCAAAACAGGGAGGAGGCACAGGGTCTGTCAGGTCTGGAATCTCAGGCCCGGTTCCCCACCCCCATCAGCAGAACTGACCCTGGGGACAGGAGAAAGGTTCCTCCCTATAGAGAAGCTGCTTCCCCAGCCCCCCAGGATCCTCCAGGGCAATTCCCTCCTCCTGCCCCACGCCTACCTTCTTCCCCTCTGCCCACTCCAACCTCAGACTCCCAAGCATACCTCTGTGAGGGGCCGGGGCCTCTTCTCCACTGCAAACTCCGTGTGGCACAGCTCGCAGTAGCTGGTATTGGATGAGGAAAGCCATCTCTCCAGACAGCTCTTGTGCACAGCGCCCAGTGTGCCGGTGCAACCACATGGAGACAGCAAGCTCTCCCCATTCGCTCCCTCATGGCAGATCCTGCAGAATGGACCATCGCTAGACACAGAGATGGGACACATGAGTAACGATCAAGTTTCCTGTCTATGCCTACTTCACATGCACTGGATCACAAGCTCAGCATCACCCCTATATGCTGCTACTTGGCAAACTCCTACTCATCCTTCAACATCCGGCTCCAAATATCCTTTCCCTTGGGAAGTCTTCACAGACTCCCACAGGTGGAGTGATGTGCTCCCTCCCCAAGTTTCCCGTGGCACCTTTTTCAGCCCAGGGTGAGCATCACTTGTACCTGCCTGCCCAGCGTCCACTCCTCCTTCTCCTACAATGCCACCATGATTGTACTGGGCAACCAATCCACTCTTAACTCTTGGTCCTGAAGACGACACCCCTAATGACCTCAGGCCTGACCAATCAAAACACCACACGTCCCTGGTCACAGGGGCCGATTCAGGGAACAGCATGTGTGATGCAATCAGAGCCACTGGGAATTGATTCCTGAAATTCTTTTTTTTTTTTTTTCCCCTAAACTCCAGAACTACAGGCAGCATGGCTGATGTAAGTCTGGAGCTGCTGGCAGCAGCCTGGTCCCCACATGGAGTCTGTAAATGATGCCAAAACAGAGGGAAACAGAGGAAGGTGGAGCCAAGAGATAAGGAGAAGCAGAGTCTCAAGGACACCATCAGAAGCTCTGGATCTAGCCGCACCTGAAGGCCATGCTACCTAAGAAACCTGTGCGTCCAGGGAGAAGAGCTCCCTGGCTCTTCTGCTCTAGTGAGGCTCGGAAAACAGACATAAAAAGCGTCTGCAGGAAGCTGCTTCAGGGAAGTCTCGGCCCCAGCTTGGTCTCTGGGGATGCTGGGTCCTTCCTGGGGCAGCTCAGGGCCAGGGGCGTGGCCTTGGTGGCCCCAGCGGCTGTCCAGCACATGAGTCATTGTTTTCCAGACATTTCTGCCCAGAGAGAGGACTGCGGGAACACACGGAGGAGGCGGAGCAGGAGAGCTGTTTTCCAGATAACGCCAGTTTCCCCTCAGAAACTTTCTATCCTTTTCTCAGTGTCTCCTGCTGTGGGACGGGGCCTGGCTGCTTTGAAACCCAAGAGCTGAGCTGACCCCTCAGGTCTGCTTTCTGGTCCTCAATCCTGTGCCTGGGCTGCTACTTTTTCCTCCAAGGTCAAAAGGGCATGCCCGGCTCCCCTCTGCTCCCACACTCCCCACACACATCAAGTGAACAGGAAAGGGATCCCTGCTCCGGAAACCAAGCCAGGAAGTGGAAGTGACGAGGACCTTGAGGGAGAGCCACGTCGGTTTTGGGGTTTGTCCCTGAAGAACCCTACTTCAGAGGTGCAAGTTCAGAGAAAACAAAACACAAGAAAACAAAGCACACACTGATTTATGATTGAGCACTGATGAGGTCCCATGCACAATTTGGAGGGCAACATCTGGGTTAATTTTTCTCATTCTCACAGGGAGCCGGGGAGGAAGGTGCTCTTTTTGCCCCTGTTTTACAGACAGGGAAACTGAGGCATCGAGGGGTTAACCTGTTTGTGCAGAAGTCACACAGCCAGTCGTCGGGCACAGCTGGGATTGGAACCCAGGAAGTCACTCCAGGCCTGTATACTCTGAGCCACTAGGCTGCCTGCCACCGGTAGTAGGGCAAGAGAAATGGGCTTTACTCCCGAAATTCTGGGAGGAAAATTATGCAAATGATACAGTTGAGGAGGAGATGGGACGGGGGAGCGGGTGAGACATCCACAGATCCCAGTGGAGCTGACCAGAGTATGCTCCATGGGCAGAAGGGAGATGGAAATGGAAGCCATGGGGAATCGGGCAGCGGGAGGAGGCCAGGTGGAAGGGCTGGGGGGTGTGGAAATGCTCAGGGCAGCTTCCAGGAGGGCCTGGCTCACAGACCAGGGGGCGGAGAGAATGGAGGCCTCACAGAGGCCAGAGGGGCCCCAGGTGCTGGCCCTCAAGCCTGAGCCTTTGTGGATTGTCCTGGGGCCTGGAGATACCTCCTGGGCCTTCCTCTTTGTCCTCTGAAGGTTTCAGGGTCCAGAACTTTCTGCCCCACTTGGGGTGCCATGCGCCCCCAGGAATCAGGGTCTCCTCTGAAATGAAATGGAAGGCTTGATTTTATGGTCATGGAACCAGCCAGGTGCTGGGGACAGTATCTTTCAGCCCCACCCTTGCTGCTCCCAGATGGCACAGGCTGGCTGGGAGGAGGAGTTACAGGGTGAGTGAAGAGAAGGAGGGGGACAGTGACCTGCTTGTGTGGCCTCTGCCGACCCCAGCACCTCCCAGCAGTGGCAGTGGAGGATCCTCATTTCCTCCTGGGAAGATCGGCCAGGAGGCTGTAAAGAGGGCCCCATCCCTGGATGATGACAACCCTCTGGGAAAACAGCAGCCCTCTCTCTAGGAAGGGTTGTTCTGCCCTGGCCTTCAGTCTGGGCAAGTTGGGATTGAGCTGCATCAAAAGGCAGAGGGGGGCTTCCCTGGTGGCGCAGTGGTTGAGAGTCTGCCTGCCGATGCAGGGGACGCGGGCTCGTGCCCCGGTCCGGGAAGATCCCACGTGCCGCGGAGCGGCTGGGCCCGTGAGCCATGGCCACTGAGCCTGCGCGTCCGGAGCCTGTGCTCCACAGCGGGAGAGGCCACAACAGTGGGAGGCCCGCATACGGCAAGAAAAAAAAAAAAAATAAGGCAGAGGGGGGACTTCCCTGGCGGTCCAGTGGTTAAGACTCCGTGCTTCCACTGCAGGGAGTACGGGTTCGATCCCTGGCCGGGGAACTAAGATCCCACATGCCTCACAGTGCAGCCCAAAAACAAGACAACAAAAAGGCAGAAGAGACAGCCGTCAAAAAGAACGAAATTTTGCCATTTGCAGTAACATGGATGGACTTGGAGGGTGTTATGCTGAGTGAAATGAGTCAGACAGAGAAAGACAATTACTATATGCTTATGTGTGGAATCTAAAAAATACAAGAAACTAGTGAGTATAACAACACAAAAAGCAGACTCAGAGATATAGAGAACAAACTAGTGGTTACCAGAGGGGAGAGGGAGGAGAAGGGCAACGTGAGGGTCGGGAAGCGGGAGGTACGAACTATTGGGTGTAAGATAGGTTACAGGGATGTCTTGTACAGCACCGGGAATAGAGCCAATATTTTGTAATAACTGTAAATGGACTGTAACCTTTAAAAATTATATAAAAATTTAAAAATTAAAAAAAAATAGCACTACCATACAATCCAGCCAAAAAAATAAAAAATGGCAGAGGGGCAGATCAGGAGGGCCCTGCAGTCGGTCTCAGTGGGCAGAGCTGTCCTGACCACCAGCTGCCCGCGGAGGGGCCGCTCTGGTACCGCTGCTTGCCTGGGTCTCTGAGGGCTGCAGGGGAGGCTGATGGGACCGAACAGGCTTCTCCTCCTGCCCCCCACACCCAAGGGGGAGCCCTAGGTTCAAGCCTCAGCTCTGCTCAGTGACACTGGCAGGGGTCCAGCTCCCTCTGGGACTCGGTTTCCCCAGGTGTAAAAAGGGAGGGTGGGGCAAGGTGACGTCAACTCACTCAGTGGCCCCCAGGAACCCCATGGAGGGAGACTTCCTCCCTGCCCCCCACCCCAGCAGCTCTGGCTAGGAGGCCCCTGGGCCCACCAAGGGTCCCCTTGCTCCCAGCCTGGCTCAAGCAGCACAGACCCTGTCCTGACTTCAGGGGGTCTGATGGAGATGCAGACATAAAAACCAAGACCCTGGAGGAAGCCCAGAAGGAGAACGCCAATCTCATCTGGGCTTAGGCAAGGCTTCCTGAAAGAAGTGATGCCAGGCAAAGACTTACAGGGTGACTGGCAGTGGGCTCCCTCCAAAGCACTGCAAGGCTTCCATCTGCTTCTTTTTATGTTTTGAATGAAAAGCTTATGAATTGACTCTGACACCTGCTACAACACAGATGAACCCTAGAGACATGATGCTCAGTGAAAGAAGCCGTCACAAAAGGACAAATACTGTCTGATTCCACTCACAGGGGGTCCCTACAGGAGTCAGATCCACAGAGACAGAAAGTAGATGGTGGGGGCCGGGGGCTGGGGAGTGAGTGTCTAATGAGGACAGAGTTTCAGTTTTGCAAGATCAAAACAGTTATGGGGTTGAATGGTGGTGATGGTTGCACAACACTGTGAATGTACTTAAAGCCACTGAACTGTACACTTTTAAATGGCCAAGAGGGCTTCCCTGGTGGCGCAGTGGTTAAGAATCCGCCTGCGAACGCAGGGCACACGGGTTCGAGCCCTGGTCCGGGAAGAACCCACATGCCACGGAGCAACTAAGCCCATGCGCCACAACTACTGAGCCTGCGCTCTAGAGCCCACGAGCCATGACTACTGAGTCTGCACGCCACAGCTACTGAAGCTGCGCACCTAGAGTCCATGCTCTGCAACAAGAGAAGCCACCACAATGAGAAGCCCGCGCACCGCAACGAAGAGTAGCGCCTGCTTGCCACACTAGAGAAAGCCCGCGTGCAGCAATGAAGACCCAACACAGCCAAAGATAAATAAATTAAATAAATAAATTAAATAAAAATAAAATGGCCAAGAAGCTAAATTGTGTTACATCGTAACAATAAAAAAAAATTGGAAAGAAAAGCTTATGAATTAAATTGTCTCAAGTAAACATCATGAAAATACATTAAACTTGAAAAACTGGTGGCCAGATTAAATCTTAATAAGTTAAAGTGGATTTAAATTTGTGTGGGGTTTCCATAAATCTCTTTTCCTTGGAACTGGTGACAAGTTGGTGAACCAGGCAGACTCAGCTCACACGTGGGTCTGGAAGGCTGGCACTGAGGTTTAAATACATTTATCAACTGCTTAGGAGGTGGCAAAGCCCCTTGCGGGCACTTTATGTGGACCACGGCCACGTACTCTCAAAACAACCCAGTGAGGAAGGTGTCCCCAGTTTAGAGATACGGGGGTGAAGCAACTCTTCCCAGGTTGTACAGGGAGAGAGGCTTCTACTCAGGACCTGAGCCCAGGCACCCTGAGTCCACAGCCAGCCATTTCCTCAAGCAGCCTCCCCAAAACGTGAGCTACTCATCAACATTGGACCTTCAGATTTCACCCAGTAATCTGGAGTTTCTGCTTTTCATGAAGAATCAGACCTGGCTAGCCAGTTTCCACGTGGTGATTACTGGTTTATTTGCCCACCTGGCCCCTCTAGGTGGCTGGATTTCTTTTTTGTTTTTTTTTCTGGCCCGCGGCTAGTGGGATCTTAGTTCCCCGACCAGAGATCGAACCCAGGCCCCGGCAGTGAAAGCACCAAGCCCTAACCACTGGACCACCAGGGGATTCCCGCAGTTGGATTTCTGACCCCAGGCAGGGCTGGGAGGAAATCCCTTGGGCCCGAGAGCGAAGTGAGTGAAGGCAAAGATCCCTGCTTGGCCACCACTAACCTCGGTGTGTCCAAGGCCCGGATGACAGTTGAGAGGAGCCGGCCGTCCCTTGAAGTCACCTGTGCCACATACTGGGGTGGCCCAAGGCCCGTGGCCTCCACGACCTTGGAGAAGGCGGGGCTGTCGGAGCAGTCGCACAGGGAGCCAGGGAGGTGACAGCAGTCACCCGTCGTCATGGCCACAGGGAGCCCCGCGTCCTCAGGGCCCGAGGCCCATGGTCCCAGGAGCCTGGGGAGAGGCCGGCAGGAAGATTAAGGGCAAGGTTAGCAAGCCACACACCGAATCCAGCTCTCTGAGCCTCGGTTGCCCAATCTATACAATGGGGCTTTGGAGGGGGCTGTGAGGATTCAATAAGGTCACACATGCAGCTCAGCCCAGGCCTGGCACGTCTCAGGGGCTTGATTATATTACCTCTGACCCTCCTAAGAAAGGCCAGCCCGGCCCAGCCTGCAAAGCATGCAGGTCACCCCCAATATCACCTTTCCAGACATAATAACAGCACCTAACAGTGACTGAACACCTTCTGTGTAGCAGGCCCTGTGCTTGGCGCTTTCCAGGAACAGAACCATGCCCGCCAACCATGTAGAGACTGTTCTCCATGGACTGGATTGCTGGGCCTGGGCTCACGCCCACCTTTGAGTGGGCCAGAACTGAGCTAGAAACTTGGCCCAGCAGACCAGGATGGTGAGTCACATTGACCCTCCTGGTTGACGGCCTCTTGTGGGGCTCTGAACTCCTTGATAACTCAGGCTATCAAGGAAGTGGCCCAGGCTGGGGAGGACCATGACAGTCTCTGTCCCCACCCACCAAAGCAGCTGCTCTAACCCATGCCTCTGTCCCCAAGGAAAGGCCACCGGAGCAATCTGGAGTCTGCTCTGGGTGGGAGACTTCAGCAGGATTCTGTCCCCCACCCCAGGGTCTGACCTGACAAAAGGAACCCTTGGCAAGCTCTTCTTCCGTCACAGAACCAGCCAGCGAGTCTTGTGTGTTTCCCTTGGAGAATTTCATGAAAGTAACAGAGGCCTCTTGAAGCCAATACAGGTGCTCTGGAGCTAAGGATCTCTGTCCCAAACTTGTCTCATACTCCACCGTTTGTCCCTAGGAACTATGATCCAGAGACCCTCGAAACACTCGCTGAGGTCCCCCCACAATTGTTTTTTACCAACCCTTGCCAGTCAAACTCTGAGACCCAAAGAGGGGCGGGAGGGAAGCAGTGTAAGTCATTGGCTAACTTTTTGCACCAGGACAGTCTGCTGCCAGATCAACAGTCTCTGAACAGCTCAGCCAGAAGACCTCCAGGCTCAGCAGGCCCTTCTGAGCCTCTATAGTTGGGCTGCTGTTGGCCACATAAGCAAGTGTCAGCCCAGAGGCAGGAGGAGGCTGGGAGGAAGGCTGCATGACTGAGATAACATCCTCAGGGCAGTGGCCAGGCCTGCCATGTTGTGTACACTGCTGTCCCTTCCGAGTGCCTGCAACCAGAATTTCCAGCTCAGAGGCCAGCAGGGAAGTCGCTGGGTTACCCAAGGGAATGCAGGCAGAGGGGAATCCACTCCTCTTGCCCCTCCAAGGATTGGCCTTCACATTTCTGCAAGTAATTGGGCATCACAAGAAACATCACAGCTACTGTATATTAAGTTCTATCATTTCTTTTACTGTCAAGGGAAAAACAAAAACACTGGTAAAATCTGCTAATGCAAGGCCTGCAAATCACCAAAATAATAATAGCAGCTACTGTTTATTAAGTACCTACTGCAAGCCGGGTACTGTTCTAAGCTTACTGAACTCAAACAGTTGTTATAAGTGTCCCCTTCAAAGGTCACCTCCCCAGAGAGGCTTTCCCTGACCACTCTGGTCAAAGTGCCATTGGTGTCCACATTATTGCCCTTACAGAATGTACCCCTCTCTGAAATGCTCTTTCCTTTTTATTTTGAGAGGCCAATGCCGCCTTTATTCCTGAGTCAGCAGCTACTGGAGAGGGTGCTCAGGCATACGGCTGCAGTGGGCTCCCTCTCGATCCATCCAAGAACCGGGCAACGGCCAGACCCAGGGGGTCCAGTGACTCAGCGGCCTTAGGAACAGCGCAGAAGACTCTCTGCCTACGGGCCTGAAATGTCCTTATTTCTTTCCCTTTTTTTCTTTTTTGGTCGCGCCGCACGGCTTGTGGGATCTTAGCTCCCCGACTAGGGATTGAACCTGGACCCTCAGCAGTGAAAGAGCAGAGTCCTAACCACTGGACCGCCAGGGAATTCCCATGAAATGCTCTTATTTCTTCATCTACTGGTTTAACCACGTCTGTCTTCCACTCATCAGTCTCTCCAGCACCTGGCCCTGTGTCTAGTACAGAGTTCCTGCATTAATTTTTCAGCCCCTCCTCTGTGTAAATGCAGGGTTGGGAGAGCCAGGTCTCTTGACCCTGCCCCCCAGACCCTGGTCTGCCAGCACCCATGACGGGAATCAGAAATATTTAGAGGCTAGAGATCTGTGCAAAGCACAGAGGCTTGGGCTTGCAAGAGGCCAAACTCGAGGCTGGATGCAAGGATAGGGTGGCTGCAGCTCTGGGGCTGCTGGGATGGCAGAGCGAGCCAATGCCTCAAGCAAACTTGGCCCAGTGCTTGAGAGATGGATTTCACTGAGTCTTCACAACAAAACTATGACGTAAGTCCAATAATTACCCCCACTTGACAGGTGAGGAGACTGAGGCTCAGAGAGGGGCAGCTTCTTGCCCAAGATCACACAGCTAAGTCAGGACAGTGCCAGGATTTGAACTTAGTCCAGTGGGTGGGTCTGGGACTCAAGAGATCTGGGTTCTTTTAAGTCCTGACTCTGTTACTAATGCTGTCTGTCCTGGAACAAGACACTTGGCTTCTCTGGGCCTCATTTTTCTCCTTTGTCAAATAAGTTGATGAAGCTAGTGGACTGTGTCTGCTGAGGGCTTCCTGGGAAGGAGCAGCCAGGCTCAATTCCTCCAGCGAAGCTCGCCCTTGGCTAGGCTTGTCTGGGGTGGCACTGGGGAACCACAACCTTTCCACACCTACCCAGACTCCTTTTTTCTGAGGGCAGGAATCCAAGGGAAGAAGAGTCAGAGGGCCCTAGCTCCCCACAGTGTCATCTCAGTCCAGCTGCTTTGCTCTCTGGGCCTCAGTTTTCTCTTCTGTATAATGGGGGTCCCAGTGAAACCCAGCTCATACATGCATAAATATGAGAAAGTCAATAAATATTAGCTCTATTGATAATTACCGTCATCAGCTTATAGAGCTGTTGGTAGGGTTTGATGAGACAAGGCACAGCCAGTGCCTGGCACACAGTAAGCACTCAACAAATGCTCACTGTTATTATTTTTTAGGATAAACATGGAGCCTGTCAAATGCATTCATTCCTCTTCACTTACCACAGAGAGGCTCCTGTATGCCCTTCAGTACTTGAATGGCCCTGCACTGAAGGCCAGGCTTTAATCGCAGCTCTGATCATTACTCGCTGTGTAGCCCTGTGCAAAAGGCTTGACCTCTCTGAGCCTTGATTCCTCATCCGTATAGCAGGGAACGTTTCTAGTACTTCCACTTAATATGGTCGATAGAGGACTAAATGACCTAATCCTATAAATTCTGGCTATCCCGTTTTGAGCACACACGAACAGGCAGGCACTCTGCTAACCAAGTGCCTGGGTCATTATATTTACTATTTTCCTGGCAGAGCCCCTCTGAGGAGGAGGTTGGGGAAGGTGACTGGTCATTTACTGACCGCCTACTGTGTGCAGAGCGCTTTCCTCATTTGCCACCTCCTGATTCCTCCCAACAGCCCAATTAGGTTGGTACTAGGATGACCCGGTTTCACAGATGAGGAGACCGAGGCTCAGAGAGGCACCTACTGTGTGCCGGCCCCCAGAGGACCTCCTGACTTCTGCAAAGACGGAAATTGCGATCACCTAGTCCCTGGGAAGGCTGAGGCCGACTGTCCGAGCCCGGCCGTCCCGCCTGGGGGCCGGGCTCGGGCCTCAAACTCGGGGCCGGCCCGCGGATCGGCACCCTCCGGCCCCATCCTCCCGCCCGTGCCTACCTGATCCGCGGCCGGGCCGGGCGGCCGCGCAGGCCCCTCCGCTTGCCCCGGCCCTGGTCCCGGCCCGGCCGGTCTCGTCAGCGCCGCTAGCTCCGCTCCGGCCGGCACCTGCGTCGGGACACCGCCCGCCAAGCAGACGGCGCCACGAACCAATGGCGACCGCCTCTCGCCTACACTGGCCAGTCGCCGTAGAACTCCCGCCCTGGGAGGCGGGGCCAGAGGCGACGGGGACGTCCTGGGCCGCACAGGCCCGGCGGCGCCGCAGCTGCTGGCCCCGCCCCTGCTGCGTCCTGGCTCCACCCCAGGCTATGCCCCGCCCCCATCCCTGGCCCCTCCCCATACCGACTCGGGGCACGAGCGGGGCACGTGGCGCCACCTGCAGAAGACCAGTTAATAGATACCGTTACAGAATTCAACGCGAGGGAGGGTGGGAGGGAGCGAGACGCAAGAGGGAGGAGATATGGGAACATATGTATATGTATAACTGATTCACTTTGTTATAAAGCAGAAACTAACACACCATTGTAAAGCAATTATACCCCAATAAAGATGTTAAAAAAAACAAAAAGAATTCAACGCGACACTAGCGAAGGGATTTGTAAGTGTTCGTCACCTCTCTTAGGCTTCTCGCCAATCCTGGGGGAGGGATGAACCGTCCGATTACATTTTACAGAGAGGAACTACAGAAGTCTAGAGAGGTTAAGGGGCCGTGGAAGAGCATAAAGCCAACATCATTTATTTATCATTCACATTCATTCATACATACAACAAATTCATTCATTAGATGTAATAAGCATCAATAAGAGGGCCTATTATGAGCCAGGCACTGTGCTAGGCGCTGTGGACACAATGTTGAGTAAATATTGCTGCTCTCATGGACCTCAGTCTAGGGAATGACATAGACATTAAGCAGTCAATTATGTAATTCTTAATTTCAAAGGTGATAAATTATAGCGAGTGAGGGAGGCATATCATGGAATATTTGGAAAGTCCAAAAATATTTCCCTAAAGAAGCAATGGAACTGACAATGGTGAAGAGCTTGAGGTGGGATGCAAAGAGCTTGAGGTGGGATGGAGAATGGCCTCAATACTCCTTTCTTCCCCTGCCTTTATTGAATATGTAGATCAGCTCAATTACCTTAATCAAATTCTTCTGTGCTGTACTAGCTTACATTTTTCAAAAATGGAACAATAAGGGCTTCCCTGCTGGCACAGTGGTTGAGAGTCCGCCTGCCGATGCAGGGAATGCGGGTTCGTGCCCCGGTCCGGGAAGATCCCACATGCCGCGGAGCGGCTGGGCCCGTGAGCCATGGCCGCTGAGCCTGCGCGTCCGGAGCCTGTGCTCCGCAACAGGAGAGGCCACAACAGTGAGAGGCCCGCGTACCGCAAAAAAAAAAAAAAAAGGAACAATAAATCATAACAGTTTTTAAAAGGTTACCTATAGAGGGAAGGGGTAAAATAGAAGGGACAAAGATAGAAGGTAGACTTTTAAAACTGTACCTTGTTTTGGATATCTGACTTTACAACCACGTAAATATTTTATATAACTTTAAAACAAAATTTTAAATATAAGATATCCCTAAAAACAAAAATAAGATAAAACAAATTAACCTGTGTATCCAGTTGGTGACAAAACAACGCAGAGATGAACTAATGACTTTAAAACTCCACAGTTTGATTGTACATACCACTATATTGGTGGTGGTGGTGTTAAAATTGTTATTCTGAGCTTGTTGCACATTTAGTCTGGGATAAAGAAAAGGAGTGATTATGTTGGTGTCAAGAACTGAGCTTTTCAGAGGGAGTGAAGGAGGTACAGATGTAAGATTGATCACATTAAAGAAAAACCCTGTGGTCTTGAATTTGAATTGGGAGTATCATGATATATTTTATCTTTATAAAAAGCAAACATTTCCTACCTCTGTCCACTGAAAAAAAGTCTGAAACAAAGACCAACCTTCTTAATAAGCACCCCATAAGCCCAGATCGTGGTCTCTAAATACCATTTCCAATTGAAAGAAGCCAGGAACACTGAGGAAAAATCTGATTCTGAGTCAGGGGCAGGAAATGTACAGACAAAAATGGCACATCTTGATATACCAGAAAGGGAGTTATCAAAGACATTACCTGGTGAGATAATGTCAATGGGAGCCAATACGAAGCTTCCATTGGCCACGAACTGGACAATTTGATCCTCAATAAGGATAATGATTGCAGATCAAAATGCATCAAATGTTCAACTTTGTGCATTTGGGTTTTTAATTTTTTATCTTAAAATAATGTCAAATTTACATAAAAGTTGCAGAAAGAATGCAAGAGCTCCCATAAACACTTTGCCCAGATTCCCCAATTGTTAACATTTTTGAATCCTTTGAGTATAAGATACACACATGGTGTCTCATTAACCCTTAATTCTTCAGTGTTTCTTTCTTTCTTTGAGGCAGGCGGGCTTCTCCCTAGTTGTGGCAAGTGGGCTCAGTAGTTGAGGTGCACGGGCTTAGTTGCCCTGAGGCATGTGGGATCTTAGTTCCTTGACCAGTGATCGAACCCACATCCCCTGCATTGGAAGGCCGATTCTTAATCACTGGACCACCAGTGAAGTCTCTAGTGTTTCTTTCTTTTTTTTTTTTTAACCGATTGGCTTTCTTAACTTTTTAAAATTTATTAATCAATTAATTTTTATTTTTGGCTGCGTCGTGTCTTCATTGCTCCCCTTGGGCTTTCTCTAGTTGTGGCGAGCAAGGGCTACTCTTCGTTGCGGTGCACGGGCTTCTCGTTGCAGTGGCTTCTCTTGTTGCAGAGCACGGGCTCTAGGCATGCAGGCTCAGTAGTTGTGGCACGTGGGCTCAGTAGTTGTAACTCGCAGACTCTAGAACGCAGGCTCAGTAGCTGTGGCGCACAGGCTTAGTTGCTCCACAGCATGGGGGAATCTTCCCGGACCAGGGCTTGAACCTGTTTCCCCTGCATTGGCAGGCGTATTCTTAACCACTGCACCACCAGAGAAGTCTCAGTTTATTCCTTTTTTTTTTTTTTTTTTTTTTTGCGGTACTCGGGCCTCTCACTGTTGTGGCCTCTCCCATTGCGGAGCACAGGCTCTGGATGCGCAGGCTCAGCGGCCATGGCTCACGGGCCCAGCCGCTCCGCGGCATGTGGGATCTTCCCGGACCGGGGCACGAACCGTGTCCCCTGCATCGGCAGGCGGACTCTCAACCACTGTGCCACCAGGGAAGCCCCCCAGTTTATTTCTTAAGTAAAGCACATTCTTCCACATAATCACAGTATGATCTTCAAAATCAGGAAATTAATATGGATCCAGTATCACCAGGTAATTCCCAAATCCCATTCAGAGTTTCAGTAAAGTTCTTTAAATCTCCAGCATCCGTCCCAGGATCACATGTTGTATTTTGCTGTCTAATTCAGTCTCCTGCAGTCTGGAACAATTCCTCGTTCTTTCCTTGTCTTTTATGACCTTGATATTTTTGGAGATTACTGGCTAGTTATTTTGTAGAAAGCCTCTCAATTTGCTTTTCTTTAATATTTCCTCATGACATGCATTTAGGACAGAAACCACAGAAGTGATGTTGTGTTCTCAGTGCATGTATCAGGAGGCAAAGAATGTTGATTTCTTCCACTACTTATAACCTACCCTAATTATATTAACCTGATTATGTTAAAACGGTGTCTTCCAGGGACTTCCCCTGAGGTCCAGTTGTTAAGACTTTCCCTTCCAATGCAGGGAGTGTGGGTTCCATCCCTGGTCAGGGAGCTAAGATCTCACATGCCTTGCGGCCAAAAAATCAAAACATAAAACGAAGCAATATTGTAACAAATTCAATAAGGGCTTTAAAAATGGTCCACAGCTGCAGTGGTTAAGAATCCGCCTGCCAATGCAGAGGACAAGGGTTCAAGCCCTGGTCCGGGAAGTTCCCACATGCCGCAGAGCAACAAAGCCCGTGCGCCACAGCTACTGAGCCTGCGCTCTAGAGCCCAGGAGCCACAACTGAAGCCCACGTGCCTAGAGCCCGTGCTCAGCCAACGCACTGAGAAGCCCACGCACTGCAACGAAGAGTAGACCCCGCTCGCCGCAGCTAGAGAAAGTGCGCACGCAACAAGGAAGACCCAGCGCAGCCAAAAATAAATAAATAAATAAAATAAAAATGGTCCACATCAAAAAAATATATTTTTTTTTTAATTAATTAATTAATTAATTAAATGGTGTCTTCCAGGTTTCTCCAGCATGAGTTCATGTTGCACTTATCAGTAAGTGCCTTATTGGAAGATACCATGAAACTGATTAAATATCTGCTCCTCAACAGACCTTCACCCACCAGATTTAATATTCATTGATGATTCTTGCCTGAATTAAATTTTGTTGCTGTTGTTAGCAAAGAGGGTTTTATGTTTATTTACAAGAATTCTGGAGGAGGATGGCTGCTGGCATTGATTTGGTTAAATGATATTAGATTACTAGATACTAGATTCTCTTGGCCTTTTTCTCATGTAGCTAGATGGCTGCTGTGGCTCCAGGCAGCACATCCTCAATGAAGGCAGGAAAAAGGGAGTGGCATGGAGGTGTCCACCATGTCTGTCTCTTCTATCAGATAATGGTTGCTAAATGATGATTGTTTTCTAATTCCATCTTTGGCACTTCCTTCCTTATTGGCTCAACAAGATGTTCCAGAGTGGTTTTTTCTTGAAATTTTACCGGCCCCAGTTCTGGACTCCACCCTTTCTCCAAGGAGCTTTCCTTCTGTTTAGTGGGGAATAATATTTAGAAACCAAGATCTGGGTGCCAGGTGGGCTCATTGCTACCACAGTATCATTATTTCTTTTTTTTTTTAAGTTGTTTTTTTTTTTTTTAAACAAATTTATTGATTTATTTTTGGCTGCTTGGGTCTTCGTTGCTGC